TGCTTGATAATGTATGTGATCTCAATAGAGAGGTATACTTTCTGTGTGATTTTAAATATTGGCTGGCTTTCATCAGGCTGCCCACTCAAGAGAAAGCTTCAAATTGTAACCAGTGCCTGCAACCTGGTTCAGGTTATCAGTCAACCTACCAGGGTAGTTACAAACAGTACAGGAATTAAATCATCAACATGTATTGATCATATATTTACTAATGCTGCAGAGATTTGTTTGAAAGCAGTATCCAAATCTATTGGATGTAGTGATCACAATATAGTAGCCATATCTAGGAAAACCAAAGTTCCAAAGGCTGGGCCTAATATTGTGTATAAGAGGTCACACAATAGGTTTTGTAGTGATTCCAATGTTGTTGATGTAAAGAATGTGTTGGTCCGTGGTGTGTAATGAGGAGCAAACACACTGCACTTGACACATTTATGAAATTGCTTATTCCAGTTACTAATAAGCATGCACCCATTTAAGAAAATGACTGTAAAAACTGTTAAATCCCCGTGGTTTGATGAGGAATTGAAAAATGATATGGTTGAGAGGGATGGGTGGCAAGGAATAAGTTAGTCCTAAATATTTCCAAAACTAAAAGCATTGTATTTGGGTCAAATCATTCACTAAACCCTAAACCTCAACTACATCTCGTAATTAATAATGTGGAAATTGAGCAAGTTGAGGTGACTAAACTGCTTGGAGTAACCCTGGATTGTAAACTGTCATGGTCAAAGCATGTTGATACAACAGTAGCTAAGATGGGGAGAAGTATGTCCATAACTAAGCGCTGCTCTGCCTTCTTAACAACACTATCAACAAGGCAGGTCCTACAGGCCCTAGTTTTGTTGCACCTAGACCACTGTTCAGTAGTGTGGTCAGGTGCCACAAGGAGGGACTTGGGAAAATTGCAGTTGGCTCAGAACAGGGCAGCACGGCTGGCCATTTAAAAGTACACGGAGAGCTAACATTAATGACATGCATGTTAGTCTCTCCTGGCTTAGAGTGGAAGAGAGATTGACTTCATTACTGCTTGTTTTTTTAAGAGGTGTTGACAGGCTGAATGTACCGAGTGGTCTGTTTGGAATGCTGGCACACAGCTCGGACACCCATGCATACCCCACGAGACATGCCACCAGAGGTCTCTTCACAGTCCCCAGGTCCAGAACAGACTACGGGAAACGCACAGTACTACATAGAGCCATGACTACATGGAACTCTATTCCACATCATGTATCTCAGTCGAGCAGTAAAATCAGATTTAAAAAACAGATAAAACTACAGTCGTGGTCAAAAGTTTTGAGAATGACACAAATACTAATTTTCACAAAGTCTGCTGCCTCAGTTTTGATGATGGCAATTTGCATGTACTCCAGAATGTCATGAAGAGTGATCAGATGAATTGCAATTAATTGCAAAGTCCCTCTTTGCCATAAAAATGAACTTAATCCCCAAAAAACATTTCCACTGCATTTCAGCCCTGCCACAAAAGGACCAGCTGCCATCATGTCAGTGATTCTCTCGTTAACACAGGTGAGAGTGTTGATGAGGACAAAGCTGGAGATCATTCTGTCATGCTGATTGAGTTAGAATAACAGACTGGAAGCTTTAAAAGGAGGGTGGTGTTTGAAATCATTGTTCTTCCTCTGTTAACCATGGTTACCATGGTTACACGTGCCGTCATCATTGCGTTGCACAGAAAGGGCTTCACAGGCAAGGATATTGCTGCTAGTAAGATTGCACCTAAATCAACCATTTATCGGATCATCAAGAACTTCAAGGAGAGAGGTTCAATTGTTGTGAAGAAGGCGTCAGGGCGCCCAAGAAAGTCCAGCAAGCGCCAGGACCGTCTCCTAAAGTTGATTCAGCTGCGGGATCGGGGCACCACCAGTGCAGAGCTTGCTCAGGAATGGCAGCAGGCAGGTGTTAGTGCATCTGCACGCACAGTGAGGCGAAGACTTTTGGAGGATGGCCTGGTGTCAAGAAGGGCAGCAAAGAAGCCACTTCACTCCAGGAAAAACATCATGGCCAGACTGATATTCTGCAAAAGGTACAGGGATTGGACTGCTGAGGACTGGGGTAAAGTCATTTTCTCTGATGAATCCCCTTTCCGATTGTTTGGGGCATCTGGAAAAAAAGCTTGTCCGGAGAAGACAAGGTGAGCACTACCATCAGTCCTGTGTCATGCCAACAGTAAAGCATCCTGAGACCATTCATGTGTGGGGTTGCTTCTCAGCCAAGGGAGTGGGCTCACTCACAATTTTGCCTAAGAACACAGCCATGAATAAAGAATGGTACCAACACATCCTTCGAGAGCAACTTCTCCCAACCATCCAAGAACAGTTTGGTGACTTTGATACTGTGAACCATCAGATCCTCCTCTCCACCCTCTCCGAGTTGGGCATCTCCAGCGTGGCTCACTCTTGGATTGCGTCCTACCTGACAGGTCGCTCCTACCAGGTGACGTGGCGAGAATCTGTCTCCGCACCACGTGCTCTCACCACTGGTGTCCCCCAGGGCTCAGTTCTAGGCCTTCTCCTCCTATTCTCTCTATACACCAAGTCACTTGGCTCTGTCATATCCTCACATGGTCTCTCCTATCATTGCTACGCAGACGACACACAATTAATCTTCTCCTTTCCCCCTTCTGATAACCAGGTGGTGAATCGCATCTCTGCATGTCTGGCAGACATATCAGTGTGGATGTCGGCTCACCACCTCAAGCTGAACCTCGGTAAGACGGAGCTGCTCTTCCTCCCGGGGAAGGACTGCCCGCTCCATGATCTCGCCATCACGGTTGACAACTCCGTTGTGTCCTCCTCCCTGAGTGCAAAGAACCTTGGCGTGACCCTGGACAACACCCTGTCGTTCTCCGCTAACATCAAAGTGGTGACCCGATCCTGTAGGTTCATGCTCTACAACATTCGCAGAGTACGACCCTACCTTACACAGGAAGCGGCACAGGTCCTAATCCAGGCACTTGTCATCTCCCGTCTGGATTACTGCAACTCGCTGTTGGCTGGGCTCCCTGCCTGTGCCATTAAACCCCTACAACTCATCCAGAACGCTGCAGCCCATCTGGTGTTCAACCTTCCCAAGTTCTCTCACGTCATCCCGCTCCTCCGCACACTCCATTGGCTTCCAGTTGAAGCTCGCATCTGCTACAAGACCATGGTGCTTGCCTACGGAGCTGTGAGGGGAACGGCACCTCCTTACCTTCAGGCTCTGATCAGTCCCTACACCCAAACGAGGGCATTGCGTTCTTCCACCTCTGGCCTGCTGGTCCCCCTACCTCTGCGGAAGCACAGTTCCCGCTCAGCCCAGTCAAAACTGTTCGCTGCTCTGGCACCCCAATGGTGGAACAAGCTCCCTCACGACGCCAGGACAGCGGAGTCACTGACCATCTTCCGGAGACACTTGAAACCCTACCTCTTTAAGGAATACCTGGGATAGTATAAAAGTAATCCTTCCACCCTCCCCTACCCCACCCCCACAAAATAAATAAATATAAATTAAAAAATAAACAAAACAAACAAACAAACAAAAAAAATATATATAAAACAAATGATGAAGTGTGAACGCACCAATTTGTAAGTCGCTCTGGATAAGAGCGTCTGCTAAATGATGTAAATGTAAATGTGACAACCAATGCCTTTTCCAGCATGATGGGCAAAAGTGATAAGTGGCTCGGGGAACAAAACATCTACATTTTGGGTCCATGGCCAGGAAACTCCCCGGACCGTAATCCCATTGAGAACTTGTGGTCGATCCTCAAGGCGGGTGGACAAACAAAAACCCACAAACTCCAAGCATTGATTATGCAAGAATGGGCTGCCATCAGTCAGGATGTGGCCCAGAAGTTAATTGACAGCATGCCAGGGCGGATTGCAGAGGTCTTGAAAAAGAAGGGTCAACACTGCAAATATTGACTCTTTGCATAAACTTTATGTAATTGTCAATAAAAGCCTTTGACACTTATGGAATGCTTGTAATTATACTTCAGTATACCATAGTAACATCTGACAAAAATATCTCATAACACTGTAGCAGCGAACTTTGTGAAGACCAATATTTGTGTCATTCTCAAAACTTTTGACCACGACTGTACACTTTATGGAACAGCGCGGACTGTGAAGAGACACACACACAGGCACACATACAGTTTTCGTGAACACATGCTAACACGCACTCTACACACACACATTTTTATATTGTTATTTTGCTGTATTATTGATTTTGTAGTGTAAATATGTTATGGTAGAGTAGTGTGTAATAATGTGTTTTATTGTATGTAAATTGTGATTGGACCCCAGGAAGAGTAGCTGCTGCCTTGGCATCCGCAATAAATACAAATACAAATGTCACCCATTGAGCATGTTTGGGATGCTCTGGATCAACATGTATGACAGCGTGTTCCAGTTCCCGCCAATATCCAGCAATTTTGCACACCCATTGAAGAGGAGTGGGACAACATTCCACAGACCACTATCAACAGCCTGATAAACTCTATGCGAAGGAGATGTCACGCTGCATGAGGCAAATTGTAATCACACCAGATACTGACTGGTTTTCTGATCCACGCCTGTACCTTTTTTTTAAAAGGTATCTGTGACCAACCGATGCATACCTGTATTCCCAGTCGTGAAATCCATAGATAAAGGCCTCATTTATTTATTTCAATTGTCTCAGTAAAATCTTTGAATTTGTTGCATATTGCGTTTATATTTTTGTCCAGTGTAAATTGATTTATTAGACTTTTGTAGATTTTCCAAAGGCACACATCAGTGGTTTGTATGCAGCTTGTATGCGTGGAGGCCTGGAGATGCGAAATGTGTTTATGTTAATTAACGATCAATTACCGTGAGACCGGCAGTTTATTGCATGACAAGATGTAATAACCGCCACAGCCCTACCAGCAAGTAGAACATTCTGTTCAGAACTGTGAGTCTTTCTGTATTTTCTATAGTAATGTAATGCTTTGCATGTGTTTGTGTGGAATGTAAATGAATGTGTATATCCAGGTGTTCCAGCCCATGCTGATGCAGTACTTCACCTATGAGGAGCTGAAAGACATCAAGAAGCAGGTGATAGCGCAGCACAGTAGCCAGCAGCGATGGGACTGTGCAGCAGAGGTGCTGAAGGAGCTCAGTCTGTGGAGCCAGGCAGAGGTGCTGCACAAGGCCTTCAAGTATGCTGACCACGAGAAGATTGATGATGGTGAGTCAGACCCATTCATTATCTTCCTTATATTGCACACCTTAGTTAGTACACATCTTGGTGATATCTACCCTGCATTCTCCCCGTCATATACAGATACCTTCATATGAAATCTATCTAATCTTTCGCTACACAATCCCTTTACCTAATATATCCTTCAAGAACACACATCTCAACTTCCTCATAACTACACTGAATTGGAGGATGTGGTCAGTGCTTGTTTAGGAAATTAATACTGACCACAAATTTCCCATAACCAAATGTTCCTTTGAGGCGTGGCTCTAACCCTTACCAAAAACATTTCTACAGACAGCCGAATCACAATGCTGCTGCTGCATTTCCCACTGTAAAAGTTTGCTGTGGTCTAACAATGATTCTTGGATGTCTATTTACCATGAACTGTAGAGAAGCATGTCACTTCTAAACTCTTATAAGAACTTTACTTGACTTCGGTATGAACACTTAACTATAAAAAACTCTGCTTATTATCATTCCTCAGAATTGGAGAAAGAGCCGTGCTCCACCCACATCTCCCAGCTGCCCACAGAGATCCTGCTGTGTCTGTTCCACTACCTGGGCCCTGTGGACCTGTGTCACTGTGGCCAGGTGTGCTCTGCCTGGTCTGACCTGGTCAAGACCGGCTCTCTGTGGAGACACCTCTACCCTGTACACTGGGCCAGAGGTACAAAGATCAGCCTTTACCTTTTCTACTTTTATCACCGCCGATGGTGAAGCAGTCAACACTGTAAAAACTGCCATACCAATACCATCCTTTGACACTTGTTTTTCTCATTAAGAAAAAAGTTGATGAGTGTCTGTTTCCCAGGGGATTACTATCGCGGCCCCCCAGCTGATCTGAACCAGGAGCTGGATGAGGAGTGGGTGAATAGTCGACAGGATGAGGGCAAAGCCTACCAGGAGTGGGATGAGGACGCAGATGTGGATGAATCTGGTGAGTCACCAGTCAGTCTAATGTGTTTGTCAGGAGTACATCTGATGGATCCAGAGAAAATGCAAAGCTTGATTGATGTGACACAGATGTGTTTACAGATTTGAGTGAACTGTTTGGATACGACATTCAGAAAACGGCCCTATTCTCATCTCTTTTTTTATCCACGTTCTCCCTTGTCTAGATGAGTCTTGTGAAGACTCCTTGGCTATAAGCGCTGCTCAGAGGGAGAAGAAGCTACTGAATGGAATGATCCAGAACCTTCTGCCAGCTGTGGGTTCCTCTGTCCGGTCCATCGTTCTGGCCTATAGCTCTACGGTCTCCAGTAAGATGGTATGGACCAGGAGTATTCATGATCATATGCCTAGAACATCAATAAAGCAGAGCTGCTAATACAAATCTTCCAATGCTCTAGCTAATGAGAAACACTGGGTCTGCATATGAATGAAGGATGTTTGAGACTGAATAGATTCTACGTGGCAGAGTGTAGGTTAATGATCTGTGTGTATATGGGTGTCTGCTGCTACAGGTGCGTCAGATCCTCAGTCTCTGTCCTAATCTCACCCACCTGGACCTCACTCAGACTGATGTCACAGACTCCGCCTTTGACAGGTATGTCATCCAAGCCACACCAATTATGCTGAACACTACATGGTGTGATGTCCTATTAAAATCATTTTGTCTGTCTTTTCTAATTGATTGTTGTTTTCTCTTCTTCTGTCTGTCAGTTGGTCATCTCTGTGGGCGTGTCTCTCTCTGGAGCACCTGGACCTTTCAGGCTGTGAGAAGATCACTGACCACACACTGAAGAAGCTGTCCTTGGGTTTGGGGGACCTGGCATCTCCCACATGCTCTGAGAAACGCTCTGACCGGCGAGCCAAGCTTCTGAAGAGCCCTCCTTCTCCCATCTGTCTGCTGGACAAGCGGAGCCTCCGTCCGACTGGGCACAGCCGGCAGGCCCTGATCTTCAAGCAGTGGCCAGGGAGACTGGGCAGTGCCCCCTGCAGCCCCACCAGGGTCTGGGTCCTGGACCCCTCGGAGCTGGCCGACATCGAGGACGCTGCGGAGTGGAACCGTCGCGGGGAAGTGTCTACCCCTGAGGGGCGGGGCTTTGTGGAGACTCAGCCAGGGGGAGTGTTGTGTTGCTGCAGGAGGAGTAGGAGGCGGGGCTTCAGGACTGGCTTTAGCACCTCCTACTGGCAGCAGCAGTATGGGCTTGGGGAGGCCGGCTGTGGCCATTCAACCTGCTGCACTGGTGAGACGGCCCTGAGGACTTTAGGAGGGCTGCAGTGTGAGTCTTACATCACCAGGGGCAGTGCAGGGGCAGAGTTTCGGACTAAATGCTCCTCTGGGGGCCAGTGGTGCCTGGAGTGTGACAACAGAACTGATCGGTCAGACGCTCAACGCTCACTAAGGTTCCTCAGCCTCTCTGGATGCTATCAGGTCACAGACCTGGGCTTGAGGTAAAACTGCTTATGACTCCTCCGTATTATGTATTCCACCTATGTAAACGTTGCTTTAACCTATAGTTGTATGTGTGTTGATATAGTTTTTTCGATTTGGGAATGAGTGTCTGTATTATGGACATGTGTTTCAGGGCACTGTCTCAGCGTGGAGGTCTTCCTCTCCTGGAGCATCTGAACCTGTCTGGATGTCTCCTCATCACTGAGGTGGGATTACAGGAGCTGGTGTCAGCCTGTCCTGCCCTCAATGATGAACACTTCTACTACTGCGACAACATCAACGGTAATGTACACATCACTCATTTTTAAAATTTTTATTTCACCTTTATTTAACCAGGTAGGCCAGTTGAGAACAAGTTCTCATTTACAACTGCGACCTGGCCAAGATAAAGCAAAGCAGTGCGATAAAAACAATAACACAGAGTTACATATGGGGTAAAACAAAACATAAAGTCAAAAATACCACAGAAAATATATATACAGTGTGTGCAAATGTAGCAAGTTATGGAGGTAAGGCAATAAATAGGCCATAGTGCAAAATAATTACAATTAGTATTAACACTGGAATGATAGAGATGATGTGCAAATAGAGATACTGGGGTGCAAATGAGCGAAATAAATAACAATATGGGGATGAGGTAGTTGAGTGGGCTAATTTCAGATGGGCTGTGTACCGGTGCAGTGATCGGTAAGGTGCTCTGTCAACTGATGCTTAAAGTTAGTGAGGGAGATAAGAGTCTCCAGCTTCAGAGATTTTTGCAGTTCGTTCCAGTCATTGGCAGCAGAGAACTGGAAGGAATGGCGGCCAAAGGAGGTGTTGGCTTTGGGGATGACCAGTGAGATATACCTGCTGGAGCGCATACTACGGGTGGGTGTTGCTATGGTGACCAATGAGCTAAGATAAGGCGGAGATTTGCCTAGCAGTGATTTATAGATGGCCTGGAGCCAGTGGGTTTGGCGATTAATATGTAGTGAGGACCAGCCAACAAGAGCGTACAGGTCACAGTGGTGGGTAGTATATGGGGCTTTGGTGACAAAACGGGTGGCACTGTGATAGACTACATCCAATTTGCTGAGTAGAGTGTTGTAGGCTATTTTGTAAATGACATCGCCGAAGTCAAGGATCGGTAGGATAGTCAGTTTTACGAGGGCATGTTTGGCAGCATGAGTGAAGGAGGCTTTGTTGCGAAATAGGAAGCCGATTCTAGATTTCACTTTGGATTGGAGATGCTTAATGTGAGTCTGGAAGGAGAGTTTACAGTCTAACCAGACACCTAGGTATTTGTAGTTGTCCACATCCTCTAGGTCAGACCCGTCGAGAGTAGTGATTCTAGTCGGGTGGGCGGGTGCCAGCAGTGTTCGATTGAAGAGCATGCATTTAGTTTTACTAGTGTTTAAGAGCAGTTGGAGGCTACGGAAGGAGTGTTGTATGGCGTTGAAGCTCGTTTGGAGGTTTGTTAACACAGTGTCCAATGAAGGGCCAGATGTATACAAAATGGTGTCGTCTGCGTAGAGGTGGATCTGAGAGTCACCAGCAGCAAGAGCGACATCATTGATATACACTGAGAAAAGAGTCAGCCCAAGAATTGAACCCTGTGGCACCCCCATAGAGACTGCCATAGGTCCAGACAACAGGCTCTCCGATTTGACACATTGAACTCTGAGAAGTAGTTGGTGAACCAGGCGAGGCAGTCATTTGAGAAACCAAGGCTATTTAGTCTGCCAATAAGAATGCGGTGGTTGACAGAGTCGAAAGCCTTGGCCAGGTCGATGAAGACGGCTGCACAGTACTGTCTATTATCGATCGCTGTTATAGTATCGTTTAGGACCTTGAGCGTGGCTGAGGTGCACCCATGACCAGCTCGGAAACTGGATTGCATAGCGGAGAAGGTACGGTGGGATTCGAAATGGTCGGTGATCTGTTTGTTAACTTTGCTTTCAAAAACTTTCGAAAGGCAGGGCAGGATGGATATAGGTCAGTAACAGTTTGGATCTAGAGTGTCACCCCCTTTGAAGAGGGGGATGACCGCGGCAGCTTTCCAATCTCTGGGGATCTCAGACGTTACGAAAGAGAGGTTGAACAGGCTAGTAATAGGGGTTGCGACAATTTCGGCGGCTAATTTTAGAAAGAAAGGGTCCAGACTATCTAGCCCAGATGATTTGTAGGGGTCCAGATTTTGCAGCTTTCAGAACATCAGCTGTCTGAATTTGTGTGAAGAAGAAGCGGGGGGGGCATGGGCAAGTTGCAGCGGAGGGTGCAGAGCTGGTGGCCGGGGAAACAAGAACCTCATATGAAACAGATCTAAGTGATGTAATGTTATACACTTGAATGTTGCACAAATGTGTAGGAAGAGCATTATGTATCATATTTGAGTGGAGTTGAATGGATGACCTTTGGATTGTATTTAGGTATGAATGTTCCTAACTTCACCTGTGCAGCACGTTTCCCAGTGTAAGTTCCTTATGTAACAGCCCTGCTGATCTTATGAGGTGGAAGGTAAGTGGGCTTTAAGGTAGTCAGAGAAACCCGTTCAGTGTTCACTATCACAACGTAATGCTTAACGCCATAGTATTAGTGTAAACCTTTTAACATTGTTTCTGAACCAAGAGTGTGGACAGAAGTCCAACTTGGCAATAGGTATATGTCCACATTACTGGGGACTCACACTAGGCGAGATAATCACTGACCTAGCTAACAATCATTTTCAAAACTTCGAATTTTTCAATTTCTATTATTATTATTATTATTATTATTATTATTATATACAATTCTTGAATGTTATTTATATGGGGGATACAATCTTCCCAGCTCTGCAGATTTTGCTGCGACGAGACAGAATCATTAGATCATTTGTTTTGGTACTGTCCATTTGTAGCTTGTTTTTGGACACAGGTCCAGGAATGGCTGAATGATTGCAATATTTACCTGGAGCTAACCCTGCAGATAGAACTACTGGGTGATCTGAAAAGTCATACTCAATCGATCAATAATATAATATTACTTTTAGCAAAAATGTTTATATTCAATTTACGATCTGTAGAAACAATGACAATATAAAGGTTCAGAACTTTTTTTAAACATCACAGTACAGTTGAAAGATATATGGCAAATAGAAATCCAATATGGATGGTGGTAAGAGATAGATGGGAGGTGTTGAATGGAGCTGAAGGATGGGACTAATAACAACAACTAATAACAACAAGATAACTAATGTAAAGAATATTGTGTCCATAATAAGTATATAGGTTATAGGTTGAGAGCTTTTGTGAAAGAGCACAGTTAGAAAAATATGGCATATAGAAACAAACCAGATGGACATCATGAAAATGATCGAAGGAAGTTCAGGAGTAAAAACAAACAAAATATAATTATTGTAGAATTTGACTGTCCATAAAATGTATATAGTATGTATGGGCTGGAAGTAGAGGCCTAAGCGTTGTTGTTCACCTAGTTTACTCCAATTGGGGAAGGGGTTGTGGGGTTGGAAAGTAATGAAGGGAAATATAATTTTAAAAAGGATGTGTGTGTGGATGTATGTATGTGTATGTGTGTGTGTGTGTGTGTATATATATGTATATATATGTGTATATATGTATATATATGTATATATGTGTATATATATATATATATGTGTATATATATATATATATATATATGTATGTATGTATGTATGTATATATATATATATGTATGTATATATGTATGTATATATGTATATATATGTGTATATATATATATATATGTATGTATATATGTATATATGTATGTATATATGTATGTATATATATATGTGTGTGTGTGTATATAGATATATATACACTGCTCCAAAAAAATAAAGGGAACACTATAATAACACATCCTAGATCTGAATGAATGAAATAATCTTATTAAATACTTTTTTCTTTACATAGTTGAATGTGCTGACAACAAAATCACACAAAAATTATCAATGGAAATCAAATTTATCAACCCATGGAGGTCTGGATTTGGAGTCACACTCAAAATTAAAGTGGAAAACCACACTACAGGCTGATCCAACTTTGATGTAATGTCCTTGAAACAAGTAAAAATGAGGCTCAGTAGTGTGTGTGGCCTCCACGTGCCTGTATGACCTCCCTACAACGCCTGGGCATGCTCCTGATGAGGTGGCGGATGGTCTCCTGAGGGATCTCCTCCCAGACCTGGACTAAAGCATCCGCCAACTCCTGGACAGTCTGTGGTGCAACGTGGCGTTGGTGGATGGAGCGAGACATGATGTCCCAGATGTGCTCAATTGGATTCAGGTCTGGGGAACGGGCGGGCCAGTCCATAGCATCAATGCCTTCCTCTTGCAGGAACTGCTGACACACTCCAGCCACATGAGGTCTAGCATTGTCTTGCATTAGGAGGAACCCAGGGCCAACCACACCAGCATATGGTCTCACAAGGGGTCTGAGGATCTCATCTCGGTACCTAATGGCAGTCAGGCTACCTCTAGCGAGCACATGGAGGGCTGTGCGGCCCCCCAAAGAAATGCCACCCCACACCATGACTGACCCACCGCCAAACCGGTCATGCTGGAGGATGTTGCAGGCAGCAGAACGTTCTCCACGGCGTCTCCAGACTCTGTCACGTCTGTCACGTGCTCAGTGTGAACCTGCTTTCATCTGTGAAGAGCACAGGGCGCCAGTGCCGAATTTGCCAATCTTGGTGTTCTCTGGCAAATGCCAAACGTCCTGCATGGTGTTGGGCTGTAAGCACAACCCCCACCTGTGGACGTCGGGCCCTCATACCACCCTCATGGAGTCTGTTTCTGACCGTTTGAGCAGACACATGCACATTTGTGGCCTGCTGGAGGTCATTTTGCAGGGCTCTGGCAGTGCTCCTCCTGCTCCTCCTTGCACAAAGGCGGAGGTAGCGGTCCTGCTGCTGGGTTGTTGCCCTCCTACAGCCTCCTCCACGTCTCCTGATGTACTGGCCTGTCTCCTGGTAGCGCCTCCATGCTCTGGACACTACGCTGACAGACACAGCAAACCTTCTTGCCACAGCTCGCATTGATGTGCCATCCTGGATGAGCTGCACTACCTGAGCCACTTGTGTGGGTTGTAGACTCCGTCTCATGCTACCACTAGAGTGAAAGCACCGCCAGCATTCAAAAGTGACCAAAACATCAGCCAGGAAGCATAGGAACTGAGAAGTGGTCTGTGGTCACCACCTGCAGAACCACTCCTTTATTGGGGGTGTCTTGCTAATTGCCTATAATTTCCACCTGTTGTCTATTCCATTTGCATGTGAAATTTATTGTCAATCAGTGTTGCTTCCTAAGTGGACAGTTTGATTTCACAGAAGTGTGATTGACTTGGAGTTACATTGTGTTGTTTAAGTGTTCCCTTTATTTTTTTGAGCAGTTTGTGTATGTGTGTATATGTGTGTATATGTGTATATATATATATATATATATACACACACACACACACACACACAGTGGGGAGAACAAGTATTTGATACACTGCCGATTTTGCAGGTTTTCCTACTTACAAAGCATGTAGAGGTCTGTAATTTTTTATCAAAGGTACACTTCAACTGTGAGAGACGGAATCTAAAACAAAAATCCAGAAAATCACATTGTATGATTTTTAAGTAATAATTTTGCATTTTATTGCATGACATAAGTATTTGATCACCTACCAACCAGTAAGAATTCCGGCTCTCACAGACCTGTTAGTTTTTCTTTAAGAAGCCTTCCTGTTCTCCACTCATTACCTGTATTAACTGCACCTGTTTGAACTCGTTACCTGTATAAAAGACACCTGTCCACACATTCAATCAAACAGACTCCAACCTCTCCACAATGGCCAAGACCAGAGAGCTGTGTAAGGACATCAGGGATAAAATTGTAGACCTGTACAAGGCTGGGATGGGCTACAGGACAATAGGCAAGCAGCTTGGTGAGAAGGCAACAATTGTTGGCGCAATTATTAGAAAATGGAAGAAGTTCAAGATGACGGTCAATCATCCTTGGTCTGGGGCTACATGCAAGATCTCACCTCGTGGGGCATCAATGATCATGAGGAAGGTGTGGGATCAGCCCAGAACTACACGGCAGGACCTGGTCAATGACCTGAAGAGAGCTGGGACCACAGTCTCAAAGAAAACCATTAGTAACACACTACGCCATCATGGATTAAAATCCTGCAGCGCACGCAAGGTCCCCCTGCTCAAGCCAGCGCATGTCCAGGCCCGTCTGAAGTTTGCCAATGACCATCTGGATGATCCAGAGGAGGAATGGGAGAAGGTATGTTGTCTGATGAGACAAAAATAGAGCTTTTTGGTCTAAACTCCACTCGCCGTGTTTGGAGGAAGAAGAAGGATGAGTACAACCCCAAGAACACCATCCCAACCGTGAAGCATGGAGATGGAAACATCATTCTTTGGGGATGCTTTTCTGCAAAGGGGACAAGATGACTGCACCGTATTGAGGGGAGGATGGATGGGGCCATGTATCGCGAGATCTTGACCAACAACCTCCTTCCCTCAGTAAGAGCATTGAAGATCGGTCGTGGCTTGGTCTTCCAGCATGACAACGACCCGAAACACACAGCCAGGGCAACTAAGGAGTGGCTCCGTAAGAAGCATCTCAAGGTCCTGGAGTGGCCTAGCCAGTCTCCAGAACTGAACCCAATAGAAAATCTTTGGAGGGAGCTGAAAATCTGTATTGAAAAAAAACATATGGGGGATTGGAAGTGATGCAGACAATTACATTGATGGAAGTTACAATCTATCTGAAATATTAAAGCTGATCTACCCCCTATAAAAAACAAAAAACAATCATTTTCTATGAAATAAGGAGACTCAACATCGCGCAACAGTCAATCGGAAGAGGGCAGCTCTTATTAGCAAGCTTTGACATTGGCTAACAACAAAACAGACTTTATGCTGGCTGTTTGAAGGATAACCCACCAGGGTAGACCTCAACGACTTGATCGCTGATTATCTTGGGAAGTGTGAGACCCCTCTTAAGGACAACAGTAACTGGACCACTGTATGTGTGAGTGTCTGACTGGTCTAACTGTTCTGTTTCTCTGCAGGTCCTCACGCTGACACGGCCAGCGGCTGCCAGAACCTGCAGTGTGGCTTCAGGGTGTGCTGCCGCTCTGGAGAGTGACCTTTCACCCAGCCCCATGACCCCCCCCCCCCATCATGGTTCCTCATCTGCACTTTAATCACCTGGGAATAAACCAATCTCTGTACATTGTCACTTCAAATAGTTTCTAGATAAACAAAAATTCTAGTTAACTCGGGACATTTCCATTTCCATCAGTATTTTTAGGAAATACTCCTTTAGAAAAATATATGGGTGTTGGATGTATGAAGTATCCGCAAATGTAAATTCTGGTTCCATATTTTGAGAAAGCGATTATTTTGCATTTTCATTTGAGTTGCAAAAAAGCAGACGTTATATGTGAGCACCAAGTACTTGTCGTTTCTGTAGTGAAATGAACCATGTTTCACAGAAGTTGACACCAGGTATCCTGTAGTTTCTGACTTGGTCCATCACCTCTGCTCCTACTTGCTTATTTTAGATCTCTGATTTGTGATTGCTGTAGTCTTACTTGGTTAATTGAAATTAGAAGTAAGAAACATCAGATAATTAAATGTTGTGATGTGAGTTCTCTTCACATGATGATACACACAGCTTGACCTACATTTTGGGAGTGGTGATTCACACGGTGGAAGATACTGTTTCATCATAATGGTGTGTAACGTCAGTGACTGTTAATAAATCTGACGGTACTGCATAGTCCTGGAGAACACTGATCATGTCACTACTAGAGATGACATGTGGCCAGATCACTGTTAGAATTGCCTCAGATGTGGGCAGGCATGTCAGGTATAGAGTTATGGTGGTATTTGGCTGCAGGTAATACCCTTATCCCATATGTTGGATTTCAACCTCTAAAATGACATTCATAATGCTTCTCATCTTTCTCCTTTGTGGCTAGAAACATTGGATTGTTCTTATATTTTCCCTTTGTCATTGTATTGAATGAATGGTAAGGGCACTGAAATTCACCAGCATTCACATAAGCTCTCACAGGCCAGAGGGTTACTTCACAAAATGATATCCTAGACATGTATACAGTTGAATGACAAAATGAAGCAGATTTGAGAAATAGCCCCTATTCTGTGAGACCCACTGTGAGTGCTGGTCTTTATACATAGCACATCCAACTTCTGGAGACCCATTATTTGCTTGTTCAAACAATCTGCATGAGAAGTTCTATTGGTTATGTACAGTTCAAAAGCAGAACAATAAAAGTATATTGGATTTAAAGTATGTGAAATACAGTATGTATGCGGTAAAGGATTCAAACAAATGTGGTATTTTATTGTTTTAAAGTTATGATAAAATCTGTTATATTACACCGTACATAACACAAGACTGAGCGTCAGATTTGGTAGCTACACAAGTTAATTGTGATTTCATAGGAATGGTAAACGAGCCCAAACTCTGTGTTGTCCAGAGCTATCACACTCATATGCAAATATAATACGAGACCAAATCAATAGAGTACGGTTACATGCACACAATAATGCGATTATTGTGGATAGTCAGATTAATATACTAGTTCGATTAAAACGTTTACATGTTTTGCAAGAAGAACGATTTCCCTAATCCTGTTTACATGGACACATCTGAATTGGCACGCTGATAAATGCAGAAAAACGCCAATCAAAATAAACGTTCAGCCACAGCGCCCATTTTATTTTTGGTAAGTATATCTGATTCTTGAGTTTGGACAAAGTTTGTATGCGAAAACTATAAAACGCATACATTCAGTTCCGAACATACTTCGCTCGCGCTAAAGAGGGAGGTTTTTGCGCTGCTGGCACATGCACAAATCAAATATGCCGCATGAACGCCGATTAAGGTGTTTACATATACCGGTACTAATAATTTGAAAGATTGCTCAGAAAAGCAGTTTTGATCGGCGTATGCTTACTTCGATTTTGACTTTACGCCGATTAAGGTAAACAGTAAGGGTGTTTAGATGACTATTGCATAATCAGCCTACTGCCATAATCATTTTAATATCGAATTATTCATGTGCATGTAGACGTACTGTAGTCTAAAAGGTAGTTGTGCTCTAAACATTTCTTCATAAACATACAGATAAACAATATCGTAAAGTGCATTTATGAAAAACAAGCTTGTCTATATCTCTGCAATGGAGTTATCGTGTGCGGATGAGTGAGGCCAGGTAAACCCAGACAGACAGGACATTGTTAGGGTAGGCATGGACATGAACAGCCAGGGCAAACTCCACATTGGATGCCTCCACATTGTGGACTCCTGTACTGTAGACTGCCTCAATAATGGGCCGGACCTCTGAGAATGGAAGATGCAGGGGGAATCCTGAAATCTGTTAAAGGAGGAAATCGAGAGACGTCAGTGACACTGTTCCACATCCAAGGAAATAATCCAGTCATGTATGGCCAGTGGTGTAAAGTACTTAAGTAAAAATACTTTAAAGGACTACTTAAGTAGTTTTTTGGGGTATCTGTACTTTACTATTTATATTTTTGCCAACTTTTACTTCACTACATTCCTAAAGAAAATAATGTACTTTTTACTTCATTCATTTTCCCTGACATCCAAAAGTACTTGTTACATTTTGACAGGAAAATGGTCCAATTCACACATTTACAGTGGGGGAAAAAAGTATTTAGTCAGCCACCAATTGTGCAAGTTCTCCCACTTAAAAAGATGAGAGAGGCCTGTAATTTTCATCATAGGTACACGTCAACTATGACAGACAAAATGAGAAGAAAAAAAATCCAGAAAATCACATTGTAGGATTTTTAATGAATTTATTTGCAAATTATGGTGGAAAATAAGTATTTGGTCAATAACAAAAGTTTCTCAATACTTTGTTATATACCCTTTGTTGGCAATGACACAGGTCAAACGTTTTCTGTAAGTCTTCACAAGGTTTTCACACTCTTGCTGGTATTTTGTCCCATTCCTCCATGCAGATCTCCACTAGAGCAGTGATGTTTTGGGGCTGTCGCTGGGCAACAAAGATCCCTCCAAAGATTTTCTATGGGGTTGAGATCTGGAGACTGGCTAGGCCACTCCAGGACCTTGAAATGCTTCTTACGAAGCCACTCCTTCGTTGCCCGGGCGGTGTGTTTGGGATCATTGTCATGCTGAAAGACCCAGCCACGTTTCATCTTCAATGCCCTTGCTGATGGAAGGAGGTTTTCACTCAAAATCTCACGATACATGGCCCCATTCATTCTTTCCTTTACACGGATCAGTCGTCCTGGTCCCTTTGCAGAAAAACAGTCCCAAAGCATGATGTTTCCACCCCCATGCTTCACAGTAGGTATGGTGTTCTTTGGATGCAACTCAGCATTCTTTGTCCTCCAAACACGACGAGTTGAGTTTTTACCAAAAAGTTATATTTTGGTTTCATCTGACCATATGACATTCTCCCAATCCTCTTCTGGATCATCCAAATGCACTCTAGCAAACTTCAGACGGGCATGTACTGGCTTAAGCAGGGGGACACGTCTGGCACTGCAGGATTTGAGTCCCTGGCGGCGTAGTGTGTTACTGATGGTAGGCTTTGTTACTTTGGTCCCAGCTCTCTGCAGGTCATTCACTAGGTCCCCCTGTGTGGTTCTGGGATCATTTTGACCCCACGGGGTGAGATCTTGCGTGGAGCCCCAGATCGAGGGAGATTATCAGTGGTCTTGTATGTCTTCCATTTCCTAATAATTGCTCCCACAGTTTATTTCTTCAAACCAAGCTGCTTACCTATTGCAGATTCAGTCTTCCCAGCCTGGTGCAGGTCTACAATTTTGTTTCTGGTGTCCTTTGACAGCTCTTTGGTCTTGGCCATAGTGGAGTTTGGAGTGTGACTGTTTGAGGTTGTGGACAGGTGTCTTTTATACTGATAACAAGTTCAAACAGGTGCCATTAATACAGGTAACGAGTGGAGGACAGAGGAGCCTCTTAAAGAAGAAGTTACAGGTCTGTGAGAGCCAGAAATCTTGCTTGTTTGTAGGTGACCAAATACTTATTTTCCACCATAATTTGCAAATAAATTCATAAAAAATCCTTCTATGTGATTTTCTGGATTTTTTCCCCTTAATTTGTCTGTCATAGTTGACGTGTACCTATGATGAAAATTACAGGCCTCTCATCTTTTTAAGTGGGAGAACTTGCACAATTGGTGGCTGACTAAATACTTTTTCCCCCCACTGTATCAAGAGAGCATCCCTGGTCATCCCTACTGCCTCTGATCTGGAGGACTCAGGAAACACAAATGCTTCATTTGTAAATTATGTCTGAGCGTTGGAGTGTGCCCCTGGCTATCCGTAAATTTAAAATAAATACAAAATTGTGCTGTCTGGTTTGCTTAAAATAAGGAATTTGAAATGGTTTTTACTTTTTATACTTAAATACATTTGAGCAATTCCATTTACTTTTAATACTTAAGTATATTTAAAACAATACTTTTAGACTTTTACTCAAGTAGTATTTTATTGGGTGATTTTCACTTTTACTTGAGTCATTTTCTATTAAGGTATCTTTACTTTTACTCAAGTATGACAATTGAGTACTTTTTCCACCACTGTGTATGGCCTGATCAACCGTTTCTTTCCATGGCATGAGCTAACATTCTGGGTGGCTGAGGAACTCCCTCTAATAACAAATGCCAGTGCCATGACCATCAAAAGGCAATGCTCATAATTTCATCCAAAGAACTGAATGGATGTTTTATGGACCTCTCCATGCCAGGACTACTATGTCATAAGCCATTCCCCTGTCCCTCCCAGCCATAGACTGCCTCTCCCCTGTCCCTCCCAGCCCAGACTCACCCTGTAGTCCCCTAGTAGACTCTGTAACTCCAGACGGTGCTCATCGGCCACGTCCCTCCCGCCGCTCAGCTCCAGCTTTGGAAGGAAGTGGCGCAGGGTGGAGGTGCAGTAGCGGTTCCAGCGGGTCGGGTGGCGGGGCCGCCATTCCATGATCTTCTCTTTTAGAATCTTCTCAACCCTACAGGTAAGGGAGATGTTAAGAGAAGTGGAGGTGTATTAGTATTATGTGTATAATTATGCATATACTGTGATGCACTATGATGATGTGTTTAATTCTTTCTAGGTTAAATGACTTGCCTGTCCTGCAGCTCTGCAGCCACTCCCTTGTCTGTGCGTTGATACACCAGCTCCTCAGGCTAAACAGAGAAGAGAAGACAGAAGGCACAGGTAAGCACTGTACAGGTCAAAGTCCAGAGAGATACTGAGGCTAGGTCTTAGAGATAAATCATGCGTGGTGACCACTGGTCACACTTCGCCTCACCTGAACACTGGACAGCCCAGGGTTTGGAAAGGCCCTGGAGAAGAACGGTTTCCAGAGTTTGGCTTTGGTGACATCAAAACTCATCCTCAGTGGAGAGGTGTACACCTGAATGTTGAACCATACCTAGAGGACAGAAGATTGAGTGAATATGGTTTATAGAGAATCCTTTCAGACAAAACATCTTACTTCAGCCATATCATGTAGATTAGATTAGAATACTGACTCACATTGTCAGCGCTGACCAGGCATCCCACAGTCTGTAGAGGGCAGAAGGTGTCATACTGACCGTAGTACTGACCACTGCTGGGGTTCCAGATGAGGTAGCGACTCTGCTCATAGGTCAGCACGTACGCTGTGGGTCCCTATGACAGGGAGGTGACAGATTTCACAAAACAGATACCACAGAACAGGGCTGTTATAGTATGGGAGAGTGGGGTAAGTTGAACCATTTTCTACATTCAGCATCACTACGGAAATATAGTATTCTTTCTAACAGGATGTTGTGTGTCCCTGGAAATCAGTATTCATGTAAACATTAGTTTTTAAAACGTAGCTTGCCCCAAAAAAGTGGTCTCTTGGCTCAACTTTTACCCCATGGCACAACTTACCCCAGGTTTGGGGTAAGTTGAGCCGCCTACAAATGTCTGTACTGAATGAAATATTACCACTACCCTTTTAAAACCATGTCTATCTTTATATCCCAAACACATTTCAACACAATCACGAACACATTTTTGTCTTTTGATCACTTTAAGCATATTTTAAAAATGGTTTAACACCTAACAAACACTTTTAACATAGGCCCTGTTGTTACCTCATATCCCAGCAACAATGCCTTGCATTACGCCTGGGAAGAAAACACTTCAATTTGCTCAACTTGCCATTGGCTCAACCATTGGCTCAGTTTACCCCATGGCCATTTACTCAACTTACCCCAAAGCAAACATTTTGACTATATTAGCTCACACAGCTACAGGGATACACTTTCATGCTAGGTTTAGGACCCTCATATTGAAGCTTATAGAGACCCGAACAGTCTTTCAATTATCTACTTTGGTTTAGATACAAGCATCCTACACTGCTCAAAAAAATAAAGGGAACACTTAAACAACACAATGTAACTCCAAGTCAATCACACTTCTGTGAAATCAAACTGTCCACTTAGGAAGCAACACTGATTGACAATAAATTTCACATGCTGTTGTGCAAATGGAATAGACAACAGGTGGAAATGATAGGCAATTAGCAAGACACCCCCAATAAAGAAGTGGTTCTGCAGGTGGTGACCACAGACCACTTCTCAGTTCCTATGCTTCCTGGCTGATGTTTTGGTCACTTTTGAATGCTGGCGGTGCTTTCACTCTAGTGGTAGCATGAGACGGAGTCTACAACCCACACAAGTGGCTCAGCTAGTGCAGCTCATCCAGGATGGCACATCAATGCGAGCTGTGGCAAGAAGGTTTGCTGTGTCTGTCAGCGTAGTGTCCAGAGCATGGAGGCGCTACCAGGAGACAGGCCAGTACATCAGGAGACGTGGAGGAGGCCGTAGGAGGGCAACAACCCAGCAGCAGGACCGCTACCTCCGCCTTTGTGCAAGGAGGAGCAGGAGGAGCACTGCCAGAGCCCTGCAAAATGACCTCCAGCAGGCCACAAATGTGCATGTGTCTGCTCAAATGGTCAGAAACAGACTCCATGAGGGTGGTATGAGGGCCCGACGTCCACAGGTGGGGGTTGTGCTTACAGCCCAACACCGTGCAGGACGTTTGGCATTTGCCAGAGAACACCAAGATTGGCAAATTCGCCACTGGCGCCCTGTGCTCTTCACAGATGAAAGCAGGTTCACACTGAGCACATGTGACAGACGTGACAGAGTCTGGAGACGCCGTGGAGAACGTTCTGCTGCCTGCAACATCCTCCAGCATGACCGGTTTGGCGGTGGGTCAGTCATGGTGTGGGGTGGTATTTCTTTGGGGGGCCGCACAGCCCTCCATGTGCTCGCCAGAGGTAGCCTGACTGCCATTAGGTACTGAGATGAGATCCTCAGACCCCTTGTGAGACCATATGCTGGTGTGGTTGGCCCTGGGTTCCTCCTAATGCAAGACAATGCTAGACCTCATGTGGCTGGAGTGTGTCAGCAGTTCCTGCAAGAGGAAGGCATTGATGCTATGGACTGGCCCGCCCGTTCCCCAGACCTGAATCCAATTGAGCACATCTGGGACATCATGTCCCAACGCCACGTTGCACCACAGACTGTCCAGGAGTTGGCGGATGCTTTAGTCCAGGTCTGGGAGGAGATCCCTCAGGAGACCATCCGCCACCTCATCAGGAGCATGCCCAGGCGTTGTAGGGAGGTCATACAGGCACGTGGAGGCCACACACACTACTGAGCCTCATTTTGACTTGTTTTAAGGACATTACATCAAAGTTGGATCAGCCTGTAGTGTGGTTTTCCACTTTAATTTTGAGGGTGACTCCAAATCCAGACCTCCATGGGTTGATACATTTGATTTCCATTGATCATTTTTGTGTGATTTTGTTGACAGCACATTCAACTATGTAAAGAAAAAAAAAGTATTTAATAAGATTATTTCATTCATTCAGATCTAGGATGTGTTATTTTAGTGTTCCCTTTATTTTTTTGAGCAGTGTATTATTATTATTATTATTATTTTTCATGAAACCTCTAACACAATAAATTCATTTGACTTGGTGAAAATCAGTTTTTTGGACCTAACTTGCTTACCACTTTTTCCATGTGGTTTCTTCCTTCACAGACTAAATGAAATTATGACCTCTTCCTAAATATTTGTTCAAATTATTAATTTTGTGTATGGTTTCCTAGAAACAGGTGACTAACTGTAAAACAAGTCAATGTTGGTAATCTGTCTTCACTAGTATGCAGTTCTTTACATTTGTTTTGGACTAATGTAGTTACGAAAATTCAATCAGTAAGGCTGGTCTGAATGGATTGTCACTTTTCATCTAGTAAACTTATAATTCACATCACTTCCTATCTCACTCATCAGCATGGCAGGTATTTATAGGGTAGTGTCTATAATGTTACCTCATCAGTTTTCCTCCTTTCCTATTAGCAACCGTGTGGAATGTAATTAACTGACCTATTAACTTCAGACTATTAGCATGGCACACTAAGGCAATTCCACCATGGTTGCTGATTAACCTATTGGCTCACAAGTGCAATAATCACTTTCCTTTCTTTCAACCAATAGGCATGAATGTAGGGGAGTATTTACAGTGAGGGAAAAAAGTATTTGATCCCCTGCTGATTTTGTACGTTTGCCCACTGACAAATAAATGATCCGTCTATAATTTTAATGGTAGGTTTATTTGAAGAGTGAGAGACAGAATAACAACAAAACAATCCAGAAAAACGCATGTCAAAAATGTTATAAATTGATTTGCATTTTAATGAGGGAAATAAGAATTTGACCCCCTCTCAATCAGAAAGATTTCTGGCTCCCAGGTGTCTTTTATACAGGTGACGAGCTGAGATTAGGAGCACACTCTTAAAGGTACACCTGTCCACAGAAGCAATCAATCAATCAGATTCCAAACTCTCCACCATGGCCAAGACCAAAGAGCTCTCCAAGGATGTCAGGGACAAGATTGTAGACTTACACAAGGCTGGAATGGGCTACAAGACCATCTCCAAGCAGCTTGGTGAGAAGGTGACAACAGTTGGTGCGATTATTCGCAAATGGAAGAAACACAAAAGAACTGTCAATCTCCCTCGGCCTGGGGCTCCATGCAAGATCTCACCTCGTGGAGTTGCAATGATCATGAGAACGGTGAGGAATCAGCCCAGAACTACACGGGAGGATCTTGTCAACGATCTCAAGGCAGCTGGGACCATAGTCACCAAGAAAACAATTGGTAACACACTACGCCGTGAAGGACTGAAATCCTGCAGCGCCCGCAAGGTCGCCCTGCTCAAGAAAGCACATATAAAGGGCCATCTGAAGTTTGCCAATGAACATCTGAATGATTCAGAGGAGAACTGGGTGAAAGTGTTGTGGTCAGATGAGACTAAAATGGAGCTCTTTGGTATCAACTCAACTCGCCGTGTTTGGAGGAGGAAAAATGCAGCCTATGACCCCAAGAACACCATCCCCACCGTCAAACATGGAGGTGGAAACATTATGCTTTGGGGGTGTATTTCTGCTAAGGGGACAGGACAACTTCACCGCATCAAAGGGACGATGGACGGGGCCATGTACCGTCAAATCTTGGTTGAGAACCTCCTTCCCTCAGCCAGGGCATTGAAAATGGGTCGTGGATGGGTATTCCAGCATGACAATGACCCAAAACACACGGCCAAGGCAACAAAGGAGTGGCTCAAGAAGAAGCACATTAAGGTCCTGGAGTGGCCTAGCCAGTCTCCAGACCTTAATCCCATAGAAAATCTGTGGAGGGAGCTGAAGGTTCGAGTTGCCAAACGTCAGCCTCGAAACCTTAATGACTTGAAGAAGATCTGCAAAGAGGAGTGGGACAAAATCCCTCCTGAGATGTGTACAAACCTGGTGGCCAACTACAAGAAACGTCTGACCTCTGTGATTGCCAACAAGGGTTTTGCCACCAAGTACTAAGTCATGTTTTGCAGAGGGGTCAAATACTTATTTCCCTCATTAAAATACAAATCAATTTATAACATTTTTGACATGCGTTTTTCTCGATTTTTTTGTTGTTATTCTATCTCTCACTGTTCAAATAAACCTACCATTAAAATTATAGACTGATCATTTCTTTGTCAGTGGGCAAACGTACAAAATCAGCAGGGGATCAAATACTTTTTTCCCTCACTGTATATGTCAACTCAAACCTTGTCCCACTTGATGTTTTGCAGTAACAGTCTTCCAACGACCTTTCACCTCCCCACCACCAGCATAATAACCTTAACGTCCGTCATTGGGGGTGGGGGTTCGATGCCAGCTGCCCAACATAGAGCAACCTGTCATCAGCATTTGGCTCTGAGGAGCATTCCTCAGAGACGAGGCCTACCCCAAACTATTCAATAAAATGATGTCTCTGTTGTCATTCCGTTAAGCCTGTACTCGATTGAAGTCATGTTGTCCAGCTTTGTGTTGCTCACCTCAGGAATGGCGCTGCCGATGATGAGCCACACCTTCTTGCCCATAGACAGGAAGTAATTACAGAGCAGTACAGCATGTTCCTCCTCATCGCCCGCCAGCAGGGTCAGGAATTGCTACAAACAGGAAAAGGAAACCCAGAATTACTCAGAACCCGCCGTCTACTAAGACTATTGTAATCTACAATGATGTCAGAGTCTATGAAAATTTGTCGGCTTCACTCACGTCACTGGTGCTCCACAGGTCACAGACACCAGCGAATGAGACGCTATCAGGCAGAGAGGGGATGAGAGACACGTACCGAGCTATCAGCTCCTTGAGAGAGGGGAGGAGAGGGAGAGACTACCTATGAAATCAAGCAACAGTCAAAGCTTGAGAGTGCTATAACTCAGGAATCAGACTGAGGCTCCATTATCAGTAGTGACTGTGTTGTCTCAGCGGAGACCTGACTGACCGTGGCCTCCTGGGGGCTGTTGGGGAAGGCGTCGAGCAGCTCCTGCGGGGGGTTGAGGGAGTGGAGGTAGCGGCTGATGAACACGGTCTTCCCGTTGATGTCGATGACGGTGGTGAGGCAGGGACGGTCGGGGTAACTTACTGCTGCGTCCCTCTCAAAGACCTCTGACGCCAGCAGTAGACGCTCGCCCTCCTGGCTGTCAAACTGGGATAGGGGTCTCAGGTCAGAGGAGTAGAGTGGGGGGGGGTCACCATAAAGCTACAGCAGTACACTTAGATCAGCAAGAGTCAGATGATCTGGATCTATTTGTGTCTAGTCTACTAATAACTGTGAGGGAGGAGGGATGTTGATGTGGGACCGCTGAACAATGGACAGTTAGACTGCTTGGGTACATTAGTCACAGTGTGCTGTACTCAACATCTATCTAATCAAAACACAATGTTAATGCCGTTCATACAGTTTACTGCAGTAAACAGTAAACAGTTACCTTTACTTCCTTCATCTAACAAATGCAGCAAAGGACAGATGAAAGAAAATAAAGAAACAAATCGGCGTAAATCCCACTCTTTCAGAGAATAAAGAAATAATTAAGAAATGAAATGTTAATAACTCATGCATTTGGTAAATTAAAAAAACAGAAAAGCTAAGACAGACAGACCAAACACAGAGAGAGAGCATGGAGACAGCTAGGACAGACAGAGAGACAGCCTGCCAGGCTGAGCTTACCTTCTCCCTAACAGTCTCTCCAGGTACCAGCTGTGGTTCTATGGTGATGAAGAGTGTGATGAAGGCTCCCTCACTAAGACTGCGTACAGCGTCGTAGCCACCATCACTGGCCATGCTGCGCTCCTTACTGTATCCCAGCAACACCGGTGGGGTGTCCACCTTAAACGTGCCGTCAATCTGCCAGATCAGATTAGACAACAGAACCACAGCAGTAAGTTACTTGTGTCAGTGTGAGTCCCTGTCTGTCTGTCAGTCAGTGGTGTGGTGTCATAGACAGTCAGTCTTACCCTGGACTGGAAGTAGATAGTACTGAAGGGAATCTTCACAGAGCCCAGCCAGTGTTTCTCTAGCCGTGTGTGGACTTCCCTCCCCCTATCCTCTCCATCCTGAAAATAGAGGAAAGATTTAAACTGATAAAACATAATGACACGAAAAGTGTATGGATACTGTAGTTAACTATGCTGTAATGTGCAATATGTTTTGCTGAGCCAGAGGGCATGGAAAGTCCCTTTGATTCACATTCTAGTGATGTCCTACTCACCCCTCCCAATTCATAATGGACTTCATCAAAGATGTTGATGAAGACTTCATCTTTCACTGACTGCAGGCTAGCAGTGCTGTAGTCTCCATTTGGGGCACTGTGGCAAAAAAACAAAAACAATGCTTGATAAATCTTCTAAACAAAGCATTCATAGATAATACCATACATGTGATCATGAAATTGACTATGTGTGGTCAAAGAGATGTCCCAATTTAGACCAGTCATGGACCAGTCACACACTCACCTAAATGGTAGTTGCAGGTCCTCGTTCCAGCAGGGGTTTGGTCCGTCTGCTGTTGTGGTCTGAAGAACCGTGCGCTGGAACGATACCTCCACAAAGGGCCTGACCTGCACCTGGAAAACACAGATTCACAACACACACAGTGAGGGAAAAAAGTATTTGATCCCCTGCAGATTTTGTACGTTTGCCCACTGACAAAGAAATGATCAGTCTATAATTTTAATGGTAGGTTTATTTGAACAGTGAGAGACAGAATAACAACAAAACAATCAGAAAAACGCATGTCAAGAATGTTATAAATTGATTTGCATTTTAATGAGGGAAATAAGTATTTGACCCCCTCTCAATCAGAAAGATTTCTGGCTCCCAGGTGTCTTTTATACAGGTAACGAGCTGAGATTAGGAGCACACTCTTAAAGGGAGTGCTCCTAATCTCAGCTTGTTACCTGTATAAAAGACACCTGTCCACAGAAGCAATCATTCAATCAGATTCCAAACTCTCCACCATGGCCAAGACCAAAGAGCTCTCCAAGGATGTCAGGGACAAGATTGTAGACCTACACAAGCCTGGAATGGGCTACAAGACCATCACCAAGCAGCTTGGTGAGAAGGTGACAACAGTTGGTGCGATTATTCGCAAATGGAAGAAACACAAAATAACTGTCAATCTCCCTCGGCCTGGGGCTCCATGCAAGATCTCACCTCGTGGAGTTGCAATGATCATGAGAACGGTGAGGAATCAACCCAGAACTACACGGGAGGATCTTGTCAATGATCTCAAGGCAGCTGGGACCATAGTCACCAAGAAAACAATTGGTAACACACTACGCCGTGAAGGACTCAAATCCTGCAGCGCCCGCAAGGTCCCCCTGCTCAAGAAAGCACATATACAGGCCCGTCTGAAGTTTGCCAATGAACATCTGAATGATTCAGAGGAGAACTGGGTGAAAGCATTGTGGTCAGATGAGACCAAAATCGAGCTCTTTGGCATCAACTCAACTCGCCGTGTTTGGAGGAGGAGGAATGCTGCCTATGACCCCAAGAACACCATCCCCACTGTCAAACATGGAGGTGGAAACATTATGCTTTGGGGGTGTTTTTCTGCTAAGGGGACAGGACAACTTCACCGCATCAAAGGGACGATGGACGGGGCCATGTACCGTCAAATCTTGGGTGAGAACCTCCTTCCCTCAGCCAGGGCATTGAAAATGGGTCGTGGATGGGTATTCCAGCATGAAAATGACCCAAAACACACAGCCAAGGCAACAAAGGAGTGGCTCAAGAAGAAGCACATTAAGGTCCTGGAGTGGCCTAGCCAGTCTCCAGCCCTTAATCCCATAGAAAATCTGTGGAGGGAGCTGAAGGTTCGAGTTGCCGAACGTCAGCCTCGAAACCCTAATGACTTGGAGAAGATCTGCAAAGAGGAGTGGGACAAAATCCCTCCTGAGATGTGTGCAAACCTGGTGGCCAACTACAAGAAACGTCTGACCTCTGTGATTACCAACAAGGGTTTTGCCACAAAGTACTAAGTCATGTTTTGCAGAGGGGTCAAATACTTATTTCCCTCATTAAAATGCAAATCAATTTATAAAAAAATTCTGGATTTTGTTGTTGTTATTCTGTCTCTCACTGTTCAAATAAACCTACCATTACAATTATAGACTGATCATGTCTTTGTCAGTGGGCAAACGTACAAAATCAGCAGGGGATCAAATACTTTTTTCCCTCACTGTACACACGTAAGACAAACTAATACAGACAAATATACACACACATTAAGGGAATATTCTGCAGTTACAGCCACTGATCCAGGTGAAGAGCAGACATGTGTTACCTGGTTGAGGAGCCAATCGCTGCCCTGGATGGCACTCTGGGATGACTGGCCTGCTGTAAACGTCTCAGTGAAAGAGCGGACCGACTTAGATGCCACAGCAGGTTTGCTGGGAAAAGAGATAAGCATTAGGAGTTTAAAATAGTCCAGGAATGTTGTACACATAATACTCTCCAGCATGACCTCATTGCTGCAGTAAATTAAATATTTCTTGTTCTTTCATGTCTGAAGATGTTGTGTGAGGTTTTATGGATGTCTGTAGATGTAATATACCCAGCATGTGACTAGAAGTTCTGAGGTCGTACCTGGCATGGGGCTTGCGGATGGGGATGTCGTAGGCCCGGATAATGTTGAGAAGTAATCTAATGTCCCCGTCAGACAGATTCTGAGCTGTTACTTTCTTCCTCTCTTTCCTCTGAGGCTTCAGGGGCCGCTTGGGTTCAGCCAGCTTGAACAGATTCAGTCCAAGAATCCTGACGGTCAAAACAACAGCTGTCATTCCAGAGAAACCAGAGGAAGAATATCTTCTCCTTCACTTTCCAGGGTAAACACAGACCATACTACCACATACATACTCTATATCTTCCAACTGTTTACTTACTGTTGGGGGATGATTTACACAAATACCAATAGTACCCTGATATACGACACTAACACTATACTCAGAAAAGAAGGTGCTATCTAGAACCTAAAAGGGTTCTTCGGCTGTCCCCATAGTAGAACCCTTCTTGATTCCAGGTAGAACCCTTTTGGGTTCCATGTAGGCCTCTTTCCACAGAGGGTTCTACATAGAACCAAAAAGGGTTCTCCCTGGAACCAAAAAGGATTCTCCTTGGAACCAAAAAGGGTTATCCTATGGAGACAGCCAAAGAACCCTTTTGGAATCCTTTTTTCTAACAGTGTACAGTCTAATGATAAATAAACTAAAAGGAAACAAACTAACAGCCACAAACAGAGGATGGTGAAAAGAGGAGAAAAGACCTATGAACATACCCAGGGCCTGCACCACTAAATATGTCAATGCAAAGCATAACAGAGAAATGGGACATAGAAAAAATGATGATCAAATAATGAACAAGCAAAGTAATGTGACATTTTAAATAACTATAATGATGATAATAATTACAATGTCATGTGTTGATAAAGGCTGCTAAGTGTCACATCCAGATGTGGTGTAAAAATAGAAGAACGTGCTTTCAGATTCTCCAAAAGAGAACATCTCTTCAGCCAGGGGAATGCAGTGTTTGAGATCAAATATTCCAGAGACCCACCGGCCAAAGAGAAACTCATTCCTCTGGCCTGTGATCTATTCTGTGATCTACTTAGACCCTGTCAGTCTTTATGACAGATTTACAACAGGTTATAACCCATCTTGCAATTCCCATTAACCTAAACACGAACACTTGAGCACAACAATTTGAACAATCCAATGCAAAAAAGACAGCCAGGCAAGTATTGGGGCAAATGCTAGCTCGTCACACATGCAAAGCAAAATAATGTGATGCTACCTACCTAAATACACTGATGACTCAAACAAGCACAATGACTATATTCTATCTAGTATATAAGAATATTTGCACAAAAATTCTGCCTTGATATGATTTCACAAGTATGAAAATGCACAAATGTATCTACCCAATACTAGGAACTTCCTCTTCTTGGACCAGGTCAGACAGGAGGAAATTATGCTTGGCGATGAGGAAGCGGTTGATGACTGATTCTCTAATCTGAAAGACAGAGAGAGCCAAATAAATCAATATGATTAATATGAGCAGATCCACACAGACAAGACTCCAGAGTCAAAGCTAACTGCCCGACACGTCTACTCACCTTCTGCAGGTATTTGGCCACCAGGACTCTGTGTGCATCTAGGTGATCCTTAGTGTCAACGATTTCTCCTTCTCTCAATCTCCTCTCATATTCCTGAAAAGGACAAAAATCATAAAGTTGAACATGTTGTCAGGCTAATTAAACCTTATTAGTAATCTTATAAAGTATACAGTGCCTTACCTGGAACACCTTATCAGTGACCTCCCGCTCCAGGGCAGGGACACATTTATAGTTACGGAACTCAGCCACCTCCTGGTTTCTGAGCCGGAGCAGACGGAACCTGCGAGACTGCTCAATTTCCTCCTCAGAGAGGAAGTTGAACTCCTCCTGCAGCTGCTCCAGTCTGAAGTAATTTGGAGCTGTCACCTCCCCACTACTGGCCACCTTATGGAGAGAGAGAGAATTATTATGATAGAGAGAGAGAGAGGTCATTATTATGATAGAGAGAGGTCATTATTATGATAGAGAGAGAGAGAGGTCATTATTATGATAGAGAGAGAGAGAGGTCATTATTATGATAGAGAGAGAGAGGTCATTATTATGATAGAGAGAGAGAGAGGTCATTATTATGATAGAGAGAGAGAGAGGTCATTATTATGATAGAGAGAGAGAGAGAGAGGTCATTATTATGATAGAGAGAGAGAGGTCATTATTATGATAGAGAGAGAGAGAGAGAGAGAGAGAGAGAGGTCATTATTATGATTAGAGAGAGAAGAGAGGTTCATTATTATGATTAGAGAGAGAGAGAGGTCCATTATTATGATAGAGGAGGAGAGAGTGTCATGTATTAATGAATAGAGAGAGAGAGCGGTCATTATTAATGATAAGAGAGAGAGAGGTCATTATGTATTATGATTAGAGAGAGAGAGAGGTCAATTATTATGATAGAGAGAAAGAGAGAGGTCATTATTATGAGAGCGAGGTCATTATTATGATAGAGAGAGAGAGAGGTCATTATTATGATAGAGAGAGAGAGAGGTCATTATTATGATAGAGAGAGAGAGAGGTCATTATTATGAATAGAGATAGAGGTCATTAATTATGATAGAAGAGAGAGAGAGAGTCATATTATGAAGAAGAGATAGATGTCATTATTTAATTGATAGAGAGAGAGAGAAGGTCAGTATTATGATAGAGGAGAGAGAGAGGTTCATTAATTATGGATCGAAGAGAAGAGAAGAGGGGATCGGTCATATTATGATAGAAGAAGAGAGAGAGAGAGAAGAGAGGGTCATTATTATGAAGAGAGAGAGAGAGAGAGAGAGAGAGAGAGAGAAGAGAGACGAGTCCATTATTATGATAGAGTCGAGAGAGAGAGAGGTCACTATTATGATAGATATATATATAGAGGTCATTTCATTATTATATAGATAGAGAGAGATGTTGATGTACGAGAGAGAGAGGTCATTATTATGATAGAGAGAGAGAGAGAGGTCATTATTATGATAGAGAGAGAGAGAGAGGTCATTATTATGATAGAGAGAGAGAGAGAAGAGTCATTATTATGATAGAGAGAGAGAGAGAGGTCATTATTATGATGAGAGAGAGAGAGAGGGTCATTATTATGATGAGAGAGAGAGATATTAGTGAGAGAGAGAGAGGTCATTATTATAGGATAGAGAGAGTATATTAGAGAGAGAGAGGAGTAAGAGATAGAGGAGAGAGAGTCATTATTATGATAGAGAGAGGAGAGAGGTCATTATTATGATAGAGAGAGAGAGAGGTCATTATTATGATAGAGAGAGAGAGAGGGTCATTATTCATAGTAGAGAGAGAGTCATTATTATGATAGAGAGAGAGAGGAGGTCATTATATATGAGAGAGAGAGAGGTCATTATTATGATAGAGAGAGAGAGAGGTCATTATTATGATAGAGAGAGAGAGAGGTCATTATTATGATAGAGAGAGAGGTCATTATTATGATAGAGAGAGAGAGAGGTCATTATTATGATAGAGAGAGAGGTCATGCAAACAGTGAAGTATATGGGACTGTATAAACAGTTTAGTGCAGTCTCCTGCTCACTGTGGTATCTGGGTAATATGGACCTGTGATCTCTTAGTAATGTGTAGTGTCTAGTCACCCACCTTTAGGAGTTGCATGATGGCTGCGTTGTTTGGGTCATTGGGATCCAATCTAGATTCAGTGGCCCACTCCCCAAGCTTCTTCATATCATTAAGACTAGATGCCCCGATGCAGGCGATGGCATCCAACTGTTTCAGTCCACTGCACAGACAAAGAGAGAGGAGGAGAAATACATGTACTTATTTATGAACGTAGGCAGTAACATAAAATAGGACTGCAGTAATTCACCTTACTAGATATAGTGTTTCTACTGTACGTACCTGTGCATGGCCTTGGACTGAGTGGTGGGCGGGGCCAGGGGTACATCATCCTCCCCTATAGCCCAGGACACACAGCAGGACAGCTTCCCAGAGGTCAGCAGGGTCTGACGGTTACTACCATCCGTCTCAAAGGAGAAGGGCACATCTGACAGGGCAAATGGAGAGCAGAGAGAGACCAAAGAAAGAGAGAGAGAAGGGTGTAAGAGATATGTCCAAGTATAAATATGCACAGTGTGTGTATGTATGGGTGTGTGCAGTGTGTACCGCTGCCGACGGCCTCGTGGTTAAACATGACCCTCAGGTTGCTGCTGAACTCCAGCTCCTCAGAGGGGGCACTGCCCGTCAGGACTGAGGACTCTGGGACTGGCACAAACACCTCTGCCAACAGGGAGGTGGACGAGCCCAACACCTCAAACACCTACACACCCACAGAACAACAAGAATAACAGGAGGTTTAAATGTGTCTGAAATAAATACATTCATTAGAGATAACATGAAGATAAATTACGATAATGTCATCTCAAAAATCATTGATTTAGTTCAATAATTTTGTTTTAAAAATCATTAACTGAAATCCAATATAACCTCACCTGCAACTTTATGCTTTCTGGCCAGTTGACTATCTTCAGGTTGAATATCTGACCAAAGTGGACTCTGAAATCTGAGTTTAGGGAGCGATTGTCTGTTCTGGAGACTTCTTTGTCATTGTATAAAACCTTAGTGAAGAGATAGCGCTTTGCAACATCCTCTCTTCTAGCAAACTCTCCCCTGTGGGGAAGAACAGACACAGTCATGCAAGTGAAATATGGATCTCCTGTTCTGTGGACTTTTAGAACCCCTCTAGCTGGACCCCTCTTAAATGGACATTTCACTCTCAAAAGTTTTTCAGTGGTTTTCAGACCTCAAAATTAGACTAACGTCAAGAAGAAACCATGTCCCTTAGAGGTCTGAAAATATCTGACAAGCTTTGATTTGAAAGTGTTATGTCCCTTTAACTGTTTTCCTGTTCGTACCTGGGACACTGTTCATTAGGAGTGATGGGTCCAGATGCAGTGAGTTCAGGCATCAGGATGGGTTCCCCTGGTTTCCTCCTGATTCTGGAGGCCTTCTCTCTGACCTGCTCCTCAACACCCTCCATGTCTGGTTCCTCAGGAGGGTCTGGCTTCGAGGGTCCCAGCTCCGTGTCACCCTCTGACTGGTCATCATCATCGTCTTCGTCATCATCATCCTGAGACTGGGTTTTCTTCTTCTTTTTCTTCTTCTCTTTGGCTTTCTGAGTGTGAGAAAATGTATGTGATCAAAAACAATCTATTCATAAACCAGGATTGTCAAGGCCCCCATACTTAATCTTAGGGGTGATACATACCTGTTTCCTCCTCCAGGCCTTCCACTCCTCCTGCTGTCTCTTGTACTCAGTGACCTTCTTCTGGTAGTCTTCCTCCATCTCCCCCTGCAGCTCATCCACTTCAGCCTGGATCTCAGCCTCATGATCCCGCTCATCTGAGGCCCGCACCCTCTCCTCCCTGGAGCAGAGGGGGACACAGATCAGTTATCAACACCAAGCACAGGATCATCCACAACAATCAACATATAAACAATATCACCAACAGTACACTCCTACACATAGTACAGGGGCCATCTACATTGTGACAGTACCTCCTGAACATTGGACAATGTTTTTCCATCTTAATACAGTAACACAGAGTCCTAAATGATGGGGTATGTTCCATTACCTCCTGAGGTAAAGCTTGTATGGTGTGTTGGTGAACCTCTGGAAGTCCCTCAGGGCTTTGATCTCCTTCCAGACCTTGATGATGCTCTTCAGCAGGGATCTGTCCTTCTCCTGCTCAGTGTCCCGCAGCCTGCGAGTGTTCTTCACCTCCTGTTTATACTCAGATATCCTCTGCTGCATGACAGGAGTTAGGCCCTGCCTACCGTGGATCTCCAGCATGTTCCGAACAGCGTTCCTCAACCCATTCAGCTACAGCAGACATAAACCAGTATTAGCCACCACCAATTCTTTGACTTTTACTCATCATTTATTTACTGAATAAACAAATCACACTAGACATCTCTAGATCTAGAGAAGGAGAGGAGTCAGTTTAGGGTAAGTCAGAGTTGGTGCCACTGCTGAATAGCCTTTGTGCAATAGAAATATCACGATTTATATTCTAATTCTCTGTTCTGTGCTTTACCTTGGTAGTGAGGTGTTCTGTGCTTTACCTTGGTAGTGAGGTGTTCTGTGACGTTCTTGTGCTGCCTGCTGAGGTGCTGGTCGTAAAGCTGGACCAGGCGTGCTCCTAGGACGTGCTCCCGGCTGAAGAGGGGGTGATGGGAGAAGATGAGCCCTGAGACGTCCACATCCATCTGGTAGTCCCCGTTCGTGTCCCCTTCTCCTGCGATGTACTGACTGGCATGCTTCGACTTCAGTGCCTGTACCACAAAGGAACAGAGGTAATCAAACACTAGAACTCTAGAGAGTATCATACTACAGATGTAATCATATCTGCATATGTGTGTGTATGTTTTTGTGTGTGTGACGGAGACAGAGAGAGAGAGAATGAGAGAGAAGATAAACTACTCCATAAGGACTTGTAGTAATAAGGAATTGTAGAAATAACCACATGACGACCCTAAATGGCGTTGTATTGTAACTCTTAACCTCCTGCTATAATACAGTCTTTGTTGTCCTGGTGAACTCATCTGACAGCTGGAGCTACTTCCAAACGTTACACTCATCGAGAACAATATTATTGCCAATTCATGTTGCCAAGCAGCAGGCTATAAAAATAAATAAAGAGAGTCGCACACTCTATATACTCTAGCTCCCAGTAATTTATTGGGTAAGCAGCAGTCTTTCAGTTCAGTGACACTGGGATTGAACATTCTGTAAGGTTGTTTATGTGTGGAGAGCAATGTGTTTATGTTTATTAATGGATATTAAGACGAGGATATGGCAGACAAGTGATTATTTTCCAGTGCAGAAACATGTCAGGTGCTATAGGACTAGTTTGAGTACTATAGATAGATAAGGATTACATGAGGTGAGCACGGTGGAGGTGTGTCTTTGTTATACAAATATAATTAATTATATTGTCCATTTTAATTCTATGGTCTGTGTGTTACCTTCCTATAGACAGTCTGCAGGGCCGGATCCAGGTCTTCCTCCATGTGGAACAGAGGAGGTCTGGTGGATGACTCTTTAATGGGGTCAGGCAGAGCTATGATCCTGCCGTCGTCTCCAAACCACTTCCTCCCCTGAGCAGATTAATAGTCGCTAAATCAGAATTGATGCTGACATCGCCCACTAAAGCTCACATCATGTTCTAGTGGTACAGTGACTCTTTTACCTGCTGCTGTTTCAAGACACGGTTCTCTAAGATGTTCTGATTGGTCAGGGATATGGGAGGCCTCTCCCCCACGTATAGTCCCTCGTCCTCCAGATAACGGGGCTGCATGTTCTCTGGTACTTTACTGGAGGCTGGCACTGAAGCATAGATAGACAGTCAACATATATAGAGTACATAGACATTCAAAGAGACCATCTTATAACACAATTATATATGCAGTGCACACATCATGAGGAAAGTGAGTTGCGATGGGCTGTGTTAGTTAGGGTTTGGTACCTGTTCTTCAGAATGGCTATGTTGGTGCACCTATCTCATACTGAGGACACTCCAGAGGTCATGTTCAGACTTCAGGGGGATCTGCCCTTAATAGTGAGCCTGGCTGACTGTCCTCCACATGGGGGTCCTGCTGTCCTAGCTGTAGGAAAGATTCTGCCTGGCATCAGATTTATGTGGTTGCCTGTCTTCAGACTACCGGTCTGGCTGCATTACAGGTGCGGTTGGGTTAGGGTGGATACCTGCTCTGAGACTACAGGTCTAGTGGTGTTATAGTTCTGTCTGTACAAAATGACTGGTGTGCTTTTATTGGGGTGGGTACCTGTCAAAAAGCTTGGGGTGAAGAGGAAGTCAATCTCGCTCTGAAGACGCCTCTGGTAGCCCATGTACTCCGCCCTCTTCACCACCAGGAAGTCATGTGCTGATTGGTCGATAATGAACAGATCCTCCTCTTCATCTTTCACTAGAGGAGCATCCTCATCCTGGGGCGGGAGGGGTCACAGAGGACAAGATGCATCAATACTACAGCCAAACTGACGTCCTCACCAGCAAAACATACTGCCATACTGAAGTCTTTAAAAATTAACATTATCCAGGAAATGAAATATTAGGCCTGTAATGGTCAAGTTATTAACAGGATTCATGACTAATTGATAAGTGATGATGTTTATGGACATACTGTATGTTGTTCAAGTACACAGACTGACAGAGAGGGGAGATGTGCCTATGCTATATGTTAAATCAATGTGGCTCAGGCCTCTCTCACTAGCCAAGATCAAATGGCAGTCAGAGGAGAGTTGTCTTTCATCTAACATATGGTGCCTTCAGCATCGATGCTGATCCAAGACCAGAAACACTATCCTGTCACGGTCCTAGCCAACTGATTTAGGAGGGTCTCAGGGTCCCATATCTTTTACAGCTAATTACACACAGATGCTGCAATCATTAGCAATCAATGGCAACAATATATGCTACTCATGCCATTTGTACTCTGGGAGTACTTCTACCCTTGTTTTCAGTCAGGCTAGTTTTCAGGGTCTAGGTCAATTACATTTTAATTCAATTCATGAGTTGAAAATTGATAATTATCTATGCTAGTTTTACCCGCTCCTCATTCTCCCCTAGCTGCTCCCTGTCCACTTCAGTGACCTCTTCCTCCTCCTCTTCCTCTCCTTCATTGTCATTCTCCCCTTCTGTCCTTGACTTTCTCTTCTTTCGACCTTTGCCCGCCTCTTCATGGGGTTCCGGGTCAAAGTTGAAAGTGAAAAAATTGTAGGCCTCCTCCGCTGTGGGTAAATCCATCTCCGACTACATTTGCAATAAAACACAGTACATTGATGAAATCATTAACCTGGGTCATATAATCTATCTAGATTACAAGAACCAAAGGAGAGCCGTTTGGCCACTCACTTTACTCTCCATCCTGACACGCCTGACTGTCTCTCGGAACTTGACTTTGGCGTTGAGGGGAGAAGAGTGGTCATCTCTCCCCGCCCTGAGGTCTGGCTCTGTCTGTAAAACATCAGCAGATCATGACCTTCACTGACAGGCTAGTTAGCATAGTGAATTACATTATTCAAAATATGGTTAACGAATTCTCCAATAAAGGATAATCTCAGTACAGTGATGCTGGTACTGGACTAATATATGCACATAGACAGTGAAGAAAGTGAGTCGAAGTCCACGGTTAGGTCCTCACCTCTCTGTCAAACCTGGTGAGAGTGTCTCGGTCTCTGAGACTCTGCAAGCGACTAGCTGGCGCCTCCAAGGAAGCCTCCTGCTGCAGAAGACTTTCTGCTTTGGACTGATGAAGTGTACAAGAGACAATACAATTTCAATCAAACAATGAGATTTGTGGAGACTAAACAGGGAGCTTGGTCCTGACACCTTTGAATAGGAAATTATACAGAATTAGGAAACTCTGTAGTTAATCAATAATAAATATTGAGTAGAGCGAGGCTGTGTTTACCCTGGCTGCCCTCAACTTGTCTCTCATTCGCTGTCTCATGGTGGAGCTCTCTGAGTGGCTCGAGCTGGGCGTGGGTGTGGCCTGAGGCCGGGGTGGCAGGTCTGAGGGGAGAGACAGGTATGAAACAACACCTATGGGAGACAGAGTAGGGAGAAACGACCCTGGTAGTCCAGTCTGTTTGGGCTGTTAACCAACTCCTCTCTGTGTTAGCTCATGGTCAAGCCAATTTATGGTTTGACAGCGGTAGAAGAGTTGGCAAGTATGGGACCAGGCTAGGGAGGGACAGGTTAGAGGACATGCAGGATAGACAGTCTCACCTCCTCTCTGGGAGTGAGTGGGACTGGACACGATGACAGGCTCCTCTTGTTTCTCATCATCGTGGCTGATCTGTTGAACAGCAGTGACCTCCACCACTGTCTCATAATGGGGCTCCACCACTGAGTCATCAGGTGTCTCATCTGTAGATGCCTCCTCAAGCTAGGAGAGGGAGCAAGTGTCAACATTTTGTAAGAGGACCCATTTAATGAAACAGCCAGAAAATACTTTACTAGTAGTACTACTACTCTGTAATAACAGAGGGGTTTAAGTTTAAGAGACACTTGAAACCCCACCTCTTTAAGGAATACCTGGGATAGGATAAAGTACCCCCCCTTAACCCCCCCCCCAAAAAAACTATTGTAAAGTGGTTGTCCCACTGGCTATCATAAGGTGAATGAACCAATTTGTAAGTCGCTCTGGATAAGAGCGTCTGCTAAATGACGAAAATTTAAATGTAAAAATGTTAAGACTATTAATCAGCAGAAAAAGTGGTGATGGTTATAGCTAGGACTCTAGGAGCCAATGAATGCTAACTTTAATACCTTTTTCTTCCTCCTCTGTCTCTGAGCCTTCAGGTTGCGTCTCAGTGTATCTCCAGGCTCCTCCTCACTAGCTGTCAGCTCCTAATAATCCAACACAAACACACAGTTGGTGCAAAGTCATAGACATCCTACAATATTATAGGTAGGCCCTGTGACTTTATATGAAGGCAGCTGCTGCTTTTCAGAGTGATAAAATATCCCCTTCGAGCAGGGAGAAAGAAAACAGAAGAAGTAAAATGTTAGGAGAGAGGAGAGAACTACAGCACACAGCCTATAGAACTCAGTGAACTCTACAGAGGAAAGAGAGAGAAGCAGTCTGGACACGTCTCTTGGCGAGGTGGTGAACAGCGCAGGTCAGAGGACTGCAGTCAGGAACACAGCACACAAGGTGACTACAGGCTAGCTAGGCCACAGCACAGCACAGCAGAGCTAGAGGGAGGCTACGGGAGAAAACACACCAACCTCCATAGTCGTCTGTCCTCTCTCCTTACTCTGCTTCTTGTCTGTTGGGACCAGAGCCTACCAGGCAGATCAGATCACTTAGACACAGAGCCCTGCCAGTTTGTGTGTGTGCATGTGTATTCACATTTGGCTTCTTCAGTGGGTGCAGGTGAGCCTCGCTTTCAGGACTTGTTGAGTCTTGTCAAAGTCTGTACTTCCTCTGTCTGGCAATAAAGTACATTGTATCTGTCACACCCTGGCTCTGGGACTCTATTTGTTGAGCCAGGGTGTGTTTATTCTATGTGTTTATTTCTATGTTGGGGGTTCTAGTTTGTTGATTTCTATGTTTGCCTGAGTGACTCCCAATCAGAGGCAACGAGTGTCAGCTGTTGGCTGGTTGTCTCTGATTGGGAGCCATATTTAAACTGTCTGTTTTTCCCTTTGTGTTTGTGGGTTTTTGTTCCGTGTTCGGTCATTGTTACCATGGACTTCACGAGTCGTTTCTTGTTTTGTTTATTGTTGTTTCTATTATCACTAAAGATAATAAAGTTCACCATGTTCGTTCAACACGCTGCGCATTGGTCTCTCCCTGACGATCGTGACAGAAAAACCCACCGTACCAGGACCAAGCAGCGTGTCCAGGAGCAGGCAGCCTGGACATGGGAGGAGATATTGGACGGGAAAGGGTCCTGGACCTGGGAGGAAATCCTGGCCAGGATGGATCGCCGGCCATGGAGTGAGACGGTGGAGAGGCGACGGAGAGAGGAGCAGCGGTGTCATCAGGGTCAACGTCGGACAGGCGAGAGGCAACCCCAGAAAATGTTTAGGGGGGGGCACACGGCATGGACGACGGGGCTGACGGAGGCAGAAAAGGGGCGGATTCAGAAGGCCGCCAGGTTACGGATACACCGCCCTGTACGTCCTGTGCGGATGCCTCACACAGAGTGTGTGAGGGTAGGCATTCAGCCAGGACGGGTTGTGGCCGCTCTTCACTCCAGGTCTCCTATCCGTCTCCACAGCCCGGTTCGGCCTGTCCCTGCTCCACGCACCAAGCCTACGGTGTGCGTCGCCAGCCCGGTCCGGCCTGTCCCTGCTCCACGCACCAAGCCTACGGTGTGCGTCGCCAGCCCAGTCCGGCCTGTCCCTGCTCCACGCACCAAGCCTACGGTGCGCGTCGCCAGCCCGGCCCGGCCTGTTCCTGCCACTCGCACCAAGTCTACGGTGCGCGTCGCCAGCCCGGCCCGGCCTGTTCCTGCCACTCGCACCAAGTCTACGGTGCGCGTCGCCAGCCCGGCCCGGCCTGTTCCTGCCACTCGCACCAAGTATACGGTGCGCGTCGCCAGCCCGGCCCGGCCTGTTCCTGCCATTCGCACCAAGTCTACGGTGCGCGTCGCCAGCCCGGCCCGGCCTGTTCCTGCCACTCGCACCAAGTCTACGGTGCGCGTCGCCAGCCCGGCCCGGCCTGTTCCTGCCACTCGCACCAAGCCAGGGGTGCGAGTCGTCAGCCTGGTCCAGCCCGTTCCTGCCACTCGCACCAAGCCAGGGGTGCGAGTCGTCAGCCTGGTCCAGCCCGTTCCTGCTACTCGCACCAAGCCAGGGGTGCGAGTCGTCAGCCTGGTCCAGCCCGTTCCTGCCACTCGCACCAAGCCAGGGGTGCGAGTCGTCAGCCTGGTCCAGCCCGTTCCTGCTACTCGCACCAAGCCAGGGGTGCGAGTCGTCAGCCTGGTAAGGCCCGTCGCTGCTCCACGCACCAAGCCAGGGGTGCGAGTCGTCAGTCCGGTGAGGCCCGTTCCGGCTCCACGCACCAAGCCAGGGGTGCGCATTGTCAGCCCGGTCCGGCCCGTTGCTGCTCCACGCACCAAGCCAGGGGTGCGAGTCGTCAGTCCGGTGAGGCCCGTTCCGGCTCCACGCACCAAGCCAGGGATGCGTATCGTCAGGCCGGTCCGGCCCGTTGCTGCTCCACGCACCAAGCCAGGGGTGCGCATCGTCAGCCAGGTCCGGTCCTTTCCTGCCTCACGCACCAAGCCAGGGGTGCGCGTCGTCTGTCCGGCACAACCCGTGCCTGGGTCACCGGTGCCTAACCAGGTACCGGTCAACGGCTCCACTACGGAGTTGAAGCTAACCGCTCCTGCTACGTCCAGTCCAGCTCCAGCCAGCGGGGCCAGACCGGACCAGGGGCGCTATGGGGGGTTTGTTGGAGGGTGGTGGGCAAGGCCGGAGCCAGAACCGCCGCCGAGGAGGTATGCCCACCCAGCCCTCCCCTGTTTTGCTCTTATTGAGGCGCGGTCGCAGTCCGCGCCTTTAGGGGGGGGTACTGTCACACCCTGGCTCTGGGACTCTATTTGTTGAGCCAGGGTGTGTTTATTCTATGTGTTTATTTCTATGTTGGGGGTTCTAGTTTGTTGATTTCTATGTTTGCCTGAGTGACTCCCAATCAGAGGCAACGAGTGTCAGCTGTTGGCTGGTTGTCTCTGATTGGGAGCCATATTTAAACTGTCTGTTTTTCCCTTTGTGTTTGTGGGTTTTTGTTCCGTGTTCGGTCATTGTTACCGTGGACTTCACGAGTCGTTTCTTGTTTTGTTTATTGTTGTTTCTATTATCACTAAAGATAATAAAGTTCACCATGTTCGTTCAACACGCTGCGCATTGGTCTCTCCCTGACGATCGTGACAGTATCTTTTCTCTTGAGGCTCACAGCTGTATTTCAATTGAATGTAGAGTAATGGTAGGCACATAGTGGGTCAGTTGCTTCTAGAGTGAAATGCTCGTCTGACAACAATACATTCAGAGATGCTCTCAAAACCTCAGCAGCAAGCTGGTCCGTTAATCAAGGACTGAGCGATTGTATATGACTGTTATATGTATATATTTTTTTTAATTCACCTTTATTTAACCAGGTAAGCCAGTTGAGAACAAGTTCTCATTTACAACTGCGACCTGGCCAAGATAAAGCAAAGCAGTGCGATAAAAACAACAACACAGAGTTACATATGGGGTAAAACAAAACATAAAGTCAAAAATACAACAGAAAATATATATACAGTGTGTTCAAATGTAGCAAGTTATGGAGGTAAGGCAATAAATAGGCCATAGTGCAAAATAATTACAATTAGTATTAACACTGGAATGATAGATGTGCAAGAGATGATGTGCAAATAGAGATACTGGGGTGCAAATGAGCAAAATAAATAACAATATGGGGATGAGGTAGTTGGGTGGGCTAATTTCAGATGGGCTGTGTACAGGTGCAGTGATGTATGGTATGCATTACCTGGGTATCTGTATCCACATCATCTTTGACCTGCAGAGACTGTTGTAGCGCTCGTCGTTTCTTTCGTAATTTCTCCCGAAGATCACTGAAACCGAGGACAGTTTCACAAGCAAATTAGGCCTGCTGTGCATAGTCTATTTCTATTTATTCAACAAGAAATAATCCTATGGTCAGGGAAACCCAATGCACATTCTAAGTAAATATGTTTCTAAAAATAACAAGTTAAAGCAATTTGACAGTTACCTTGAGGAGGCCATATTGATGGTGGGAAGAAGTTAAACTTTAAATGGCTTGGTTTTAGCCTATCTACTGGTATCCCTAATGTGAACCGCTACATTGTATCCTGTAGAACGAGCTTGACTCTGCAATGAAACATTGTAACAGTTTTATTAGAGCGTGAAACAAATGAAACATTGTAACAGTTACTAGAGCGTGCATCAAATAATCAACAATGTAACAAAATGTACTGCTCTGTGGAACAAAGGCGAACAAATTCTAGAAAGTGATTTAGCTAGGTAAAAGCCCTCGAGCTCAGACAATGGTGTGAAAAACGATACGGATTCTGGTATTGTAAACTCGATATCATAATTAGCCTACAGTCCATTGGGCTTATAAACAACTACAAAGGTGGCCTCGGGTAATATTATAAGACAACTAGGTTATTCGATATACAAAAACTGAAGACTATGTGTACAGACCTGGAGGTAAAAAAAAGACTATCCATTGGACACAATAAGTGTTATGTGAGTAATTTCTCCCTCCTGACAACTAGAACATGCATCAGGCTTACCACGATTGCTGCTGCTTAGTAACGAGATCAACTACTCCTCGAACAACCTTACAAACAGCATTGGTGCACCCTAGTATTGTATCCTATTCCCGCCCAGACATTTAGGATTTTCATTGATGCACGGATTTGTCAATCATTGAACATTGATGGCGTCACATTCTACGGTGTCCGGAAAGTCTCACAGCTTTGCCTCCGTTTGTCGAATGGTATCTCGATGCGCACAGCAGTTGCTCAGCTGTTCAATCTTCATGGTCTTTCATTACATTTTACATTTTCGTCATTTAGCAGACGCTCTTATCCAGAGCGACTTACAAATTGATCCCCTCTCACCCTCATTTGGTCATTTGAATGGAAGATTGTGTGGTTTATCATCATGATATTAGAATATTCACATGAGCACTTAGGATGTACAATAATTACATGTGTCATAGAATATATTCATCTAAATCCAATATTCAAATACCAGATCAGTAATAAAATCGGACATATTCCTGTCTTGTAGCGTTATTCACTCAATTCTGGCAAGGCTATTTGGCAACATTGTATCTTCCCACCAGTTTAGATCCAAAAAGGGATGAACACTGCATAGTTTAGTAACACTCTCCAGAAGCACACATGCAACAGAGACCCCCTCCCTCTCTTCTCTCTCATGTGTGTTTTAGAACTTTACTTCCCCAAAGGCTCCACCTGCTACAGCTGAATTAGAAACAACACACACACACGCCCCTCATGACGGTAAATATTTATTTCCATGTTAATGGGCTCCCAACCCCTCCATGCTCCCATACGCACCTGCAGAATTTTTATTAGATGAGAAAAGCACTATTTTCCTATGGTAAACATAACAGGAACACAAATAGCTTCACAAATTCCAGTGATCAGGACAAAAAACATATGGGGAAGAGTCCAAGACACACTGCTTTCAACCAGCTGGACCAGACCACAATGGTAATCTCTGGATAGTAGAGATACAGTAGATGACTTGATTACTTGTCTGCAGAATCAGACTATCTGCCAAACCTCTAGTGTTATGTGGGATGTTATGAAGATAGTGAAGTGTAATGATTGTGCTGATAGGGATGAACTGGTTTATTACAGCCAGTGTTCAGTAATGTGTTTAACATCTGTGTTACATTACACTTTCGGGATTGAGCATTTATATCATATCACCACACTCAAAAACAGTACAGTACTTGCCTTAAACTCTAATAATATTCAACTCTAATACTATTCAATACTTTTGAAAAGAAGGTACAGGGCAGACTCATTACTGACTGAAGTGCATATCATAACATTTATTCATGAAACATACAAATCATAGCTTATTATTTACATTTAAATTTAAGTCATTTAGCAGACGCTCTTATCCAGAGCGACTTACAAATTGGTGCATTCAACTTAGGATAGCCAGTGGGACAACCACCCTTTTTTTAATGGGGGAGGGGGGGGGGGGGGTATTCCTTAAAGAGGTAGGGTTTCAAGTGTCTCCGGAAGGTGGTCAGTGACTCCGCTGTCCTGGCGTCGTGGGGGAGCTTGTTCCACCATTGGGGTGCCAGAGCAGCGAATAGCTTTGACTGGGCTTAGATACTTAGATATTTTTCTCCAAACAAACATTGCTTACTTTCACCAAACAAAAATGGTTTCATACATGACTTTACCCAAAAACACACAACGTCAGACACACACATCCGGAATGAATTGTGAATAATGATGAGTGAGAAAGTTACAGACTTACAAATATCATACCCCCAAGACATGCTAACCTTTACAATAACAGGGGAGGTTAGCATTTTATTTATTTATGCCTCTGTAACTTTCTCACTCATCATTATTCATTCAGGATTATCAGTAATCATGGTAGCATCCACTTTAATGTAGAAGTGTTTAGAAACATATTCTATTCTTATTTACAATAGAAGTGACTCCAAAATGACACAATACATTATTTACCATTCATTTCTATTGGCCACAAAATAATCTGGAACACAACTAAAACAAACAGTAAATGCATCCAACAAATGTGTAGAGTCAGAAGCTTGATGTAATCATTGCGTGCTATGAATAGGGACCAAATACATAACTATTTACTACTTTAATTCACATATAAGTGAATTTGTCCCAATACTTTTGGTGCCCTAAAATGGGGGGACTATGTACAAAAAGTGCTGTAATTTCTAAACGGTTCACCCGATATGGATGAAAATACCCTCAAATTAAAGCTGACAGTCTGCACTTTAACCTCATGTATAATTTCAAATCCAACGTGCTGGAGTACAGAGCCAAAACAACAACAACAAAATTGTCACTGTCCCAATACTTTTGGAGCTCACTGTATTTATATAGAATATAAATAATACATGATGAAATAGATACTGTGAATACATCAAGGGGAGGCTATAAACTCTCAGTCCTCTCAGTTCTTTATTGAGTGTAATAAGTCTCTATGCGTAGTCCTCTGCTAGTGAGTCCAGGTAGTTGGTGTCTGCATAGAGCAGGAATCCAGAGAACAGGCTGTCAGACCACCCTGCGTCCGCAAACAGGCCATTCTGGTCCTTGAAGAAGATCTCCAGCCACACCTCGTCTTCTGGGTTCAGGAACATTACTAAGGACCCGGAGGCCACGTCATGGTTTCCTGTGTTGGCGTCAAACGTCTTGATGCGGTACTGCCCGTTCTGCACCAGCCCGATGGCCAGATGCTTGTTGGCCAGTGTGATGTCATAAGAGAAGTAGTAGATACCTGGGTAGGCACAGATGAACTTTCCTGTCTCTGGGTTGTAGTGGCCCCCCTCATTGAAGAGGACCTTGTTGAACTTGATAGGTTCCTTCTCAGCAGGGTAACTGCTGGTGATTCCCACAGAGAAGGCTGCTTTAGGCACCAGGCTGCCACACCGGCAGACTCCTGCCGTCCCCCTTGGTCCTCGCTGGCCCTTGTTCCCTTTCTCCCCAAGGGGCCCTGGAGGACCCGGTAGGCCCCCGCCCCCGCTCGCTCCACCAGGACCTCTCTTCCCACCAGGACCCCGGTCACCCCGCTGGCCAAGTTTACCCGTTGGGCCGACTTTCCCCTTTACCCCTGAAATGGAGACAGTTGGTGTTCTGACTGACTGTAACTCCAGCTGTGTACTGCCATTGACACATACTTGAACAGTTATTATCACATTTGATCAGCATGGTTGGATTACTTGTAATATGAGTAAGCTGATTCCCTGCGCATGTAAAACCCCACTATTTAAGGATTAGTGAATAGGCTCAGTGCCTCACAGCCATCCTCGGTTATTATGTCGCCCTTGGAGTCCAGCCACAATCTATGTTTGACTGCTGCACTGACTGTTGTACAGTGTAGTGAAATCTGTGATTGTATTAAACCAAACCATCACAGAATAATTTTATTGGAGCTAGGAAAGAATGGACAGGATGCATGTGTATGCATGTACTGAATGTGTGCAAAAATGTGTGCTATTCTGATGTGTGTGTGTGAAAGAGTCTGTGTGGTATTTGCGTGCCTAGGTTCCTTTTAAATCTGTAAATCTGTAAAAGAACATCATGCAGAATGCAGGTACTGTGAGCCTGACATTTACAGGTCATTGATATAGTATGTATTGGATCTGATACTAATGCAAGGTTTATCTTAAAGCCACGTTGCTTTAAAAAAACAAAAACTGGTAGAGGTAGTTTTGATTTAAACCACACATCACGTAACTTTATCTGTCTGGCTCATGGTCTCCCAGGTGAAATATGGCTTTGTAGCTGATGTAGTTTGACCATGATTGATAAACACAATTTCAGAGATCACTGGAGGGTCCCATATGTCTTCCACATCAATCACTGCAGCCTCTTTAATGTCCTGAGAGCAAAACCATTGGCAGATTCAGATTGTGAAATGCCTGGGTTAGGATAATTAAAAAGGATTGAAATGTATTTTTGGTAGTGTAAACGTGTGTTTCGATTCAATCGTTTTAATGTTGATATATTTACTTACTGCCAAAAGGCCATGGCAATAAATAAATATACAGTAGGAGTCAATATTTGAACTGTGTGCAGGGGCGTCATCTACCGCAAAAATCTGAGTGGCCACAAAGTACGTGAGGATGGCTTGGGGGTGATCTGGAGGGGGGGTAGGCCCGCTGTCCGTGAGTTTGAGAATTTTGCATTTTTCATGTAAAGAATATGTTTATTTTTCTTCATATCTAAGCAGTTCTCTTGACTGCTTGACTGGTGGTACTTTTTTAAAAGAAACGAAATAAGCTTCCCTGCATCTGCATCAAATCTGGGTAAAATATTGAAAGGAATGTGTGTCTTATTCAGTACATTTAGTAATTGCTTGCTTTTCTAAAGTCTACTAACCTTACCAGCAGGCATGCCAGCTAAGATACAGTAGTCAGACAAGCTAGCTACTCTAACTTGATTGATTACAGAGAAAAAATATATATTTTTAAACAATTATTATGATTTATTTTTTAACAGGACAAATCTGAGGGGGTACGTGCCCCAGTGCTCCCTATGGGCATGACGCCTCTGACTGTGGGTATGTTTTATGGAGTTATACAGTGGGGGAAAAAAGTATTTGATCCCCTGCTGATTTTGTACGTTTGCCCACTGACAAAGTCATGATCAGTCTATAATTTTAATGGTAGGTTTATTTGAACAGTGAGAGACAGAATAACAACAACAAGAATCCAGAAAAACGCATGTCAAAAATGTTATGAATTGATTTGCATTTTAATGAGGGAAATAAGTACTTGACCCCTCTGCAAAACGTGACTTAGTACTTGGTGGCAAAACCCTTGTTGGCAATCACAGAGGTCAGACGTTTCTTGTAGTTGGCCACCAGGTTTGCACACATCTCAGGAGGGATTTTGTTCCACTCCTCTTTGCAGATCTTCTCCAAATCATTAAGGTTTCGAGGCTGACGTTTGGCAACTCGAACCTTCAGCTCCCTCCACAGATTTTCTATGGGATTAAGGTCTGGAGACTGGCTAGGCCACTCCAGGACCTTAATGTGCTTCTTCTTGAGCCACTCCTTTGTTGCCTTGGCCGTGTGTTTTGGGTCATTGTCATGCTGGAATACCCATCCACGACCCATTTTCAATTCCCTGGCTGAGGGAAGGAGGTTCTCACCCAAGATTTGACGGTACATGGCCCCGTCCATCGTCCCTTTGATGCGGTGAAGTTGTCCTGTCCCCTTAGCAGAAAAACACCCCCAAAGCATAATGTTTCCACCTCCATGTTTGACGGTGGGGATGGTGTTCTTGGGGTCATAGGCAGCATTCCTCCTCCTCCAAACACGGCGAGTTGAGTTGATGCCAAAGAGCTCCATTTTGGTCTGATCTGACCACAACACTTTCACCCAGTTCTCCTCTGAATCATTCAGATGTTCATTGGCAAACTTCAGACGGCCCTGTATATGTGCTTTCTTGAGCAGGTGGACCTTGCGGGCGCTGCAGGATTTGAGTCCTTCATGGCGTAGTGTGTTACCAATTGTTTTCTTGGTGTCTATGGTCGCAGCTGCCTTGAGATCATTGACAAGATCCTCCCGTGTAGTTCTGGGCTGATTCCTCAAAGTTCTCATGATCATTGCAACTCCACGAGGTGAGATCTTGCATGGAGCCCCAGGTCGAGGGAGATTGACAGTTATTTTGTGTTTCTTCCATTTGCGAATAATCGCACCAACTGTTGTCACCTTCTCACCAAGCTGCTTGGCAATGGTCTTGTAGCCCATTCCAGCCTTGTGTAGGTCTGTAATCTTGTCCCTGACATCCTTGGAGAGCTCTTTGGTCTTGGCCATGGTGGAGAGTTTGGAATCTGATTGATTGATTGCTTCTGTGGACAGGTGTATTTTATACAGGTAACAAACTGAGATTAGGAGCACTCCCTTTAAGAGTGTGCTCCTAATCTCAGCTCGTTACCTGTATAAAAGAAACCTGGGAGCCAGAAATCTTTCTGATTGAGAGGGGGTCAAATACTTATTTCCCTCCTTAAAATGCAAATCAATTTATAACATTTTTGACATGCGTCTTTCTGGATTTTTTTGTTGTTATTCTGTCTCTCACTGTTCAAATAAACCTACCATTAAAATGATAGACTGATAATTTCTTTGTCAGTGGGCAAACGTACAAAATCAGCAGGGGATCAAATAATTTTTTCCCTCACTGTATAAGGTCAGTACTGTACCTTCTCCACCCTTCTCTCCTTTCTCTCCTTTCCTGCCGTCTCTGCCGTCTCTTCCTGGGATTCCTACGCTCCCGTTGGCCCCTGGAGGCCCGTTGGGGCCAGGTTTACCTGGTGTCCCCGGCAACCCCGGAACACTGCAGATCAGACGAGGTGGAGCTCCTCTCACCTTGGCCTCCAGCAGCTGACCAATCACACACTGGCACAGAAAGGCCACGCCCACCAATCGCCACATCCTCAGCTCTGTAGAGAGAGAAAAGGACCGCCAACTCATCAGACCTACTGTAGAGTACGTGATACACAACCTCAGATGACCTCATTCACAAACGGGTGATATGCTCTTCTAATGGCAGAGTGTGCATGATCTGAGTGCATATTAATCTGACAAATCTGGGAACTTTCGTCTAAATTCTAAGTTGAGAAACAGCCCAGTTTAGATTCCAGTTATTAGATACGACCAGAAATGAAGACAAAACAGTGTCCTGGCGGGAGAGGAGCATGTTCTAGTGCCAGCTAGCTAGAACAGACAGACTGAGATATGATCGGAGGGACTAAACACAGGAACCTGCTAAAATAATAAGCATTAGTCACAGCACTATAAAACACAGCAGATTCCCCTGTAAAATAACATATGAAGGAATCAAGCACTGAAGGAATCAAGATTACGCACCACACTTCTCTCCTGCCAAACTACAGCCACAGCGCCAGATGTGGGTCCTAATGGACAACGCTGCGTTTTGGACTCTCTTTTTCTCTGTTGTCAGCACCCCCAGTCGCATGTCATGTTTTAGCGGCTGCAGCAATGAGAGAAGACTTTGCCTTGCTTCCAAGCCAATTCCCTTTTGTCAATGCATTCCTTAGTTATGACACAACAGCCAGAACAACTGTGTCAGAGCAACCCAATCGTGAAATAACCCTCTGGACACAGACACGCACAGAAACACAGCCATGCTATCTGCTCTTGGATCCAAGAAACACTGACAGATCACAATAACAATCATGTTATTGAAAGAGTTGATGATTGCACTTAGCAATGAGATAAATCATTGTTTAGAAAGAGAGCGAAAGAACGGCTACTTTGGTTCTGTAAGGACTGGGCAGCAAACCAGGGTTCATCAAGTGACTGTATGGACGGGATATAAGAGACCACATCATGGAGACCTTTCTCCCCCTGGCACCCATTCTGTAGCTGGATACCATACTGTAGCTGGATACCATACTGTAGCTGGAGACCATTCTGTAGCTGGATACCATTCTGTAGCTGGAAACCATTCTGTAGCTGGAGACCATTCTGTAGCTGGATACCATACTGTAGCTGGATACCATTCTGTAGCTGGATACCATTCTGTAGCTGGATACCATTTGGCAAAACATGATAGGTCATAAGGCCTAAATCATACAGATGAAGTAAGACACTTAGTTACACATCACATGCAAACATAATTGCTGTTAGATATGCTTCTTAACAGTAATTATATTCCATTCTCTATGGTAATTATACTGTAAACAATATGCATGTATGGCGGTAACGGTCGGCAGCTGTGGGAAAATGCCTGGGAGTTTATCTTCTGCTTCAGCATGTATAATGTAGTTAACATACACTGAATGTACCAAACATTAGGAACACCTTCCTAGTATTGAGTTGCACCCCCCCTTTTGCCCTCAGAACAGCCTCAATTCGTCGGGGCATGGACTCTACAAGGTGTTGAAAGCATTCCACAGAGATGCTGGCCCATGTTGACTCCAATGCTTCCCACAGTTGTGTCAAGTTGGCTGGATGGTCACTTTCACTGGAGTGATGGACAAACTAACAAATGCCTGCCCTTGGCCAGTCCAGTGTTGTGTCGTGTGATTGGTTGAGCGTTCTTGTGTGCGTGACTTCAATCAGATGTGCTGCAGAGCCGTCTGTTTGCTGGCTAGCCGGCTTGATAATTTATAGCTCAGTGGCTTGAACAGTATGCATCCAACGACTTGGGAAACCCAGCTTCAACTTGATACATAACCAAATACACTGAATGTACCAAACATTAGGAACACCTTCCTAGTATTGAGTTGCACCCCCCCTTTTGCCCTCAGAACAGCCTCAATTCGTCGGGGCATGGACTCTACAAGGTGTCGAAAGCGTTCCACAGAGATGCTGCCCCATGTTGACTCCAATGCTTCCCACAGTTGTGTCAAGTTGGCTGGATGTCCTTTGGGTGGTGGACCATTATTGATACACACAGGAAACTGTTGAGCGTTAAAAACCCAGCAGCGTTGCAGTTCTTGACACAAACCGGTGCGCCTGGCACCTACTACCATACCCCATTCAAAGGCACTTAAATCTTTTGTCTTGCCCATTCACCCTCTGAATGGCACACGTGCACAATCCATGTGTCAATTGTCTCAAGGTTTTAAAATCCTTCTTTAACCTGTCTCCTTCATCTACACTGATTGAAGTGGATTTAGCAAGTGACATCAATAAGGGATCATAGCTTTCACCTGGATTCACCTGGTCAGTCTATGTCATGGAAAGAGCAGGTGTTCTTAATGTTTTGTACACTCAGTGTATACAGTAATGTAACAAAAACCTGAACCATAGATTCAAACAGGTACAGATATGGATATTTGTGAGATCTGAGTATATTCATGTCTGTAATTCTGCTCTTTGTTGGTGTGTATGTAGTATGTATGGGCAATTGGGCGTGAGCATGTTAGCTCTGTGTGTCTGTATGTTTTTACATCTGTTCCACGTCTGTGTGTCTCTGACAATAGTGTGTGTTTAGGAATAGTGGAACTAACATTGGGTTTCCATGGCTTTGAGTTGTAAAAAAATTCTGCAAAGTTTGTTGTGAGATATTAGAGATACAGAATGAACACTCTGTCCTGAAGATGGAAGACTTGATGATTATGATCAGGGGAATCACAACCCACGGAACATAATATAAATCATTTGTGTAAATGCTTTATTCGCACACATGCAAATGCTTTATAGTCCAACACAAACACACACACACACACACACACACACACACACACACACACACACACACACACACAAAGCCCCCCCAATGAACATACATACACAAATTCACATACTGGTGTGAACAAGCTCAGCCAGCACTGTGAAATAGATACCCCCTGGCCCCCCATAATTAATTAGGGCTATTTACGCTCAAGGCAGCTGCTCTCGGTGGAACATGTTTTTCGATTTAAGGATAATATTGTATTGAACTCAGCATAGAGCCAGTATGAGAGAGGCCCTCTGAGGGAGAATCCCCGCCCGCCATTTCTGCCCAGCAGGGATGATGTCATGACTGGGACCTACCCATCATTAAAGCACTGACTCTGCTCTACTCTCAGATGCATGCATTCTCATACACTGAGACAAAATGTTCACCTGGGCATACACACGCTCACACACACAGAAAGAAAGGACAGAACTCACACATTCTTAAACGCATAGTGCCATTATTTTAATTGGTACACATGCTAAAATGAACATTATAAATTGGGTGGTTCGAGCCCTGAATGCAAATTGGCTGACAGCTATGGTATATCTGACTGTATACAACGGGTATGACAAAACATTTATTTTTACTGCTCTAATTGCGTTGGTAATCTGTTTCTAATAGCAATAAGGCACCTCGGGGGTTTGTGATATATGGCCAATATACCACGGCTAAGGGCTGTGTCCAGGCACTCCGCGTTGCGTCGTGCATACAAACAGCCCTTAGCCGTGATATATTGGTCATATACCACACCCCCTCGGGCCTTATTGCTTCAATTAAGACAAAGGTGATGACCAGCTGAGGTTACTTTGAGATGATGAGAGTGAAATAGCATGTCAGCGTCTCTGATCTATTCTAAAAATGTATGGCGGGTTCAAGAACTTATACCCCAAAGTAAAGAACATGAGTTTTATTTATCATAATCTGAGTGATCATAGCACTGGCATACTGTATGTATGGTACTAAGAAACATGCAGATGTTCCATTTTCCAGTTGAATGCTCTTACCACAGGCTTGAGAGCTGCTCCTCCTGTTGACAGCTTGAACAACTTCAAATTAGTATAATTGTGTCAAACCTCAGATCTCCTTCCTGGTCACAGTCCTGTCTCCTTGGTGATGAGAGATGAGTAGAATGTCCTTGGATAACATAGTCTCCTTCTCAACCTCTCTGTCTCGCTCTCCTATCCTCCGTCTTTGTAGTGCTCCCTCTGTCTCTCTGCTCCCTCTCAGAGTCTTGTATTGTAATAGTAGCCTCCCTGGAGTCATTCAAACCTCCCCCTCTCTGTTTCACTCACACCCCTCCCTCTTTCTCCCTCATCCACTCCCTCTGTCTCGTTACAAACTTTCCACAAAGCAAAACAACTATCACCAACTCAAGGACGGACTTCATAAGTTCAGAGTGCAGGCCTGAATACACACCCTTTCCACCAGTCCACATTAAAGAGTCAACTCCTGACATCATACATCATTCTGGAGTGTGATTCTTGTAACAGCGTGATCATTCAATTTTGTTTTAGCAACTCTGAGAAGTTGCAGCAATAACAGCATTTAGCCTCTAGATGGAGCTATACTGCATATGCACTAAAGGTTCAGGTAACTAACAAAATAATGGGAACACTTGAGTAAATGAGGAATGCAAAGTATATTGGAAGCAGGTTCTTCCACATAGGTGTTGTTCCTGAGTTAATTAAGCAATTAAGATCCCATCATGCTTAGGGTCATGTATAAAAATGCTGGGCAGGCCATTATTTTGGCTACCATGACTATGCCCCATAGGATAACAATGCCCCCATTTACATTGCACGAGTGGTCACCAGATCACAACCCAATTGAACATTTGTGGGAGATTCTGGAGCGGCGCCTGAGAGAGCAGTCAACAAAACACCAAATGATGGAATTTCCCATGGAAGAATGGTGTCGAATCCCTCCAATAGAGTTCCAGACACCTGTAGAATCTATGCCAAGGTGCATTGAAGCTGTTCTGGCGCGTGGTGGCCCAATACCCTATTAAGACACTTTATGTTGGTGTTTCCTTTATTTTAGGACTGTGAGGAGGATGGCTATGGTATGGTATAGGGCCTTTGGTAAAGGAGTGCTGTAGGATGGGCTCCTGGCTGGTGTTTGGCTAGTGACACACAATCTCTCCATGGAAGCACAGGCAGGTGTTCTGAGTGTGCAAATGACGGTCACCTTTACCCTGGTCATGGTCACACCTGGCCACCTGTCAAAACTGATCTCCAAACCCATTTACTCTGAATCTACCCTTCCCTCGCCTCACTCCCCTACTCTCCTAGGATGCTTGCTGTGCTAAGCAGTATACCATATTGACTACACAATGGCCATATATTTACAAGTCCAAGGGGAGCCCAGCCTCTGGCCGGGTCTATAATGCATTTAAGAACTTCTCAAGAATACTAGCTGTTCTATAGACTCAGAGGAGGCATATAATGATTAATATCACTCACTACACTCCTATTCAGACTAGAGGACTCCTTGTACAGTTAGGCTAGTAAGCAGAGGGTCATTTCTTCCTATAGAGCAATGTCATCCTAAACAATCCTAAACGAACACAGAGGAAAAAGTCAGGCATGTTGTGTCTGAACAGAATGGGTCTTTATTTATTCAGGAAATTAAATAAAACAGATTGTAATCAACACCCCATTTAAATACAAAACAAACAAAAACAAAAATCGACATGATATTAATTTTGCATATCAAAGAACTGTTGAGTAATAATTACAATCCGAACACCTCATAAACCACTTCTGTGAATCTATACACTAACTCCAATTTAGAAATGAGTTACTTTAACAATATTACAAAGATTTAGCGTAAAAAATAATTCAAATTAAAATAATATCTTAGCAATTAGCATCTTAAAATTATATATATATATTTCCAAATAAAAATACAAAATAATATCAATGACGTATAATATGAAAAATTATTCCAATTATTCTGCTACTATTAAATTAAATTTAAAAAATGAATAAAACAAAATTTAAAAAATGAATAAAACAAAATTCTCTCCTTTTGGTAGCAAAAACACTATCCAAAATAACTACAATCATTTACATCAGTACAAAGATATCTGGATTGAAAAATAGTTGCAATGAAAAAAAGGGGTTTCTTTTCTGACAGTAAAAAAACGACACTGTGGATCAGAAATCTGCAAAATATGCAATGAAAAAAATAAATCTGCATTAAAAAGGTTCACACTGTAATTTTTACTTTTTATACAAACATTAGAAACAGTATTGCACGTCACAACACAGATTCGAGGTTAGTCAGCCTTTCAAAATGTGTTATATTCAAGTTTCAGAGCATCTATGAGGAGAGGCACTGCGGGCCTCGATGCAACAGGGGGAGAATCTCAAGTGTCTTCCATGAATATTATAGAACCCTCAATGTTTCCTTCCTTCAAATAAAAGGTGTAAATGTGTACTTGTATATTAACCATATTGATATATTAAAACAGTTATATATTAATACATCAATGACAATTATTTTTTCAAATATTTTGTTTATTTTTGTCTTTCAACAGAGCCCTGCTTCTGGACATAATTAGAATATTAGGGGAACTACAATGTGTGTAATAATAATAATAATGATAATAATAATAATATTAAACCTATTGAAATAGAAAAATACAATCAAAATCAAATAGTTATTTGTCTACAAAAATAGTGAAATAAATATGATTCTTACAAAAACAAAGACACACACATACAAAGTAACAGTGTTCAACTTATAAAATAGGACCCATTACTCAACAAACAGCACAAGGAGTCGTGTTATATGTCAATGGTGACAAAGTACAAGAGAGCTCTGTTCTGTTCTGAGCACAACACCAAGCACACCATGAGAGCCGAGGCCACCGGGACAAAGTACAAACAGGGAGGGGCTTAAGGATCCTGCATTTGCTTTGGAGCGGTTGCTCATCGTTTTTTGGCCACCATTTTCTCTAGAGCCAGTCATCATAGCAGAGTACCCTGTGGCACTTCTTCCTTATTTCAGTTTACAGAGAGATTGACAGACAACAGGACCCCCTATGAATACATTAGAACATATTAGACTACTGCTTCATTCACATAGAAAAACCTAATACCACCGCCTCCTCACACAATTTCTTAAATAAGTCATTATTAAAAAATAAAATCATCTGGTAGAATTATAAATAGGTAGAAGTTCGGTAGAATTTAATCTTTCATGAGTGATTAAATTGAGCAAAATAGGTCGTTGCCCAAACCAAGTCTGCATTGAATCAGCTAACTAACTGGTAGGGTGAAAACGAGCAAAAAATCTAATAGTCAGAGGGAAAATATAGAAAAGGTAGTGCATTATATATTATCAAAAGTGATTAGAGAGGCTGGGGACAGAGAGGGGGGCACAACTCACAAGTTAAAGACATTAACAAATAAATGATCTAATACGTGAATAAATAAACATAAATCTTATATCCATAAAGTAGTAGTAGTGACAGTACACACGACCCCTGAACCACGTCTAAACTGGATACCAAGGACTGACTCCACACCAGGGAACACTATGACACAAGGATAACAGGGATATTACACTGTAGAGATACAGACATGTACAGTACCAAACAGCTGGCTATTGGACCAGTAGGTCATTGCTCACAGAGAGACAGGGTCACAGTTAGATAAACAAAGAACACAGTTATTCATATTCTGCAGGCCAAAAAAATGGTATTATAATCATTTCCCCATCACTGAAAATATATGAGGGAGTGTGTCTGTCATCTTTCATTAGCAGGACATAAAACTGGGCCACTTTCTACAGGTCTAACTTGTAACTACAATATGTATGAGAGCCTGTTTTTTTTAGAACAGTTTTATCCAACTGCTAAATTCAGAGTAGCCTGACAACACAACTCAGGAACAGATGTTGGACAGATGCTTCCTTACGGATCCTTCTCCATGACAACATTTGAACAGTGGTTTAAATTGGCCAACTAGCCTAACACATGGCACAAACACACATCTCCCAGTCTTATGCCTGTAGCAATCAGATCCAGCCTGGCTTCTGTGTATGCTTTTGGTCTGCAAAGGGTTATGCTACATAAGAGTAACCTCTGTAACTATACAAAGGTGGGAGGATAGGAAGGGTGAAGGCAAAATATTGTGATGTTCTCATTCTCCTCTAGTTTACCTACATTGTTACTAAACTAAAACCTCATTCCACACACTAACAAGATCCACACATACAGGACAGACACGACACAGACACTAACCACTCACTGAACGCCACTCAGCTTCTCAACAGGCTTCATTACTCCTCACAAACTACCACATCACAAAATGGTGGCATCCACTAGTTTAGAATCAATATCGCTTTTCTTGTATAATAAGTATGTAAACAGATCAAACAACAGATCAACATCAATGCATGCAAGATTGTTTAAGTTAAGTCGTTTTCATGTATTTTCTTTTATCTTCATTTATATATATATATATATATTTTTTCTTACACCTAGGTTTTTTTGTTCTTGCTACTCAAAGTAGGATTTTAGTGTTTTCTGTTATATAATTTCTGTAGTTTGTGTTGTTTTTCTATCCTACATGTATTGGTTAAGTCTATCCTGCATGCAAAGGGTGTATAGACACAAACATGCACTTCAATTTTCACATTCCATTCTTCCATGGCAAAGGTGGCCATGAGTGTGTTAGTGCGGACTGCATTTCATTTTTCAAGATTCCGGTTTATAGCTGGCGTTAATATATAACACCTATACATCTATTCATATATTATATATAGCAGCAAAGCTTCTAATATAGCTTGTGATTAAAAATGTTAAATAGAGTTAATACAAACCAGATTCATATTTTGAGGTAATATTTTTTCAGGTCAAAATGAGAGCAAAAATAACCTTATCATTTTTGTAAATGTCTTCTGATGGGGAAAAATAACAAATTATTATCAACAATAAAAAAATAAGAGTTTGTTTTGTGGCAGAAATCTATCACTTTTATGCTTTCTATTGTTTTGTTACCTTTGGTAAATTACCTGGGGCAGGCGTCCAGATTATAGAATCAGGGTTTTCCCAGAAACAGGTGCACTCTACTCCTACTAGGGTGTGGCTAGCAGCAGACAGACAGATAGACGGACAGACGGGCTTCCCCCATGCAAAAACATTCTCATATCTACGTTAAATCTCACATATAAAAATAATTTGAAAAACCTACAAAAAATCAATCTCTTTTTAAATCTCCTCTTAAAAAACATTAAAGTACCACAAAAAAGTTGTCAGAGCCTGAGATGTGAGGGGGGTTTTGGTGAAAAACTGAGGCTTGTAGTGTTTGGCTGCTACGAAAGATATATATACTGTATACTGTTATGTACTATATACTGATAGCTTAGGGTAAGAGGCAGAGCGATGCACTTTTTCCTGCCTGGCGATGTCGCTCTTCCTTGGCCGTTCCTTCTGACTGTGTCGCCATGGTGACGTGTGGTCGCGTTCCTCTTCAGTTCCAGCGGAAGTGGATCTGGCGTGGGCGGTCAGCCCCCTCTTTGACCAGTGGCTTGTGGAACTCTCGGCCGGCGCGGGAGTGGATGTTAGCCCAGCAGAACTCACAGTAATACTGGAGGCAGGTCACGTTGGCGCAGAAGAAAGGGGCAAACTTCCCACCGCAACGCGCCCCCTGGCACTCATCACACAGCTGGTCATCCAGAACATAGGGCTTCACCTCCACCTGCAGGAGTGCAGGGGTGCAGGGGTACAGGGGTGCAGGGATACAGGGGTGCAGGGGTACAGGGGTACAGGGGTGCAGGGATACGGGGTACAGGGGTGTAGGGGTACAGGGGTGCAGGGGTGCAGGGATACAGGGGTGCAGGGGTGCAGGGATACAGGGGTGCAGGGATACAGGGGTGCAGGGACATGGAGGGGATGAGAAGAGGAATACACAGAGATAACACAGGTACTGAGAGAGCAAGAGTGTATACAAGGGTGTATAATATACCTAAAAACAATAGGTATAGATAGATATAGATAGATCAGAAAGCACTGAGCACAGGTAGAATACTGAGATACATGATGAGAGATGAAAAGGTTCCTTTAAAAGGATAGAGTAACCTGTTTGAAGCTGTGTGAGATTCAAAGACAATGGAATCAGGCAGCGCTGAGAGAGAGAGGAGAGAGCGAGAGAGCGAGAGGAGACTGGAAATGGAACTAATTCAATCAGCACTAATAAGCTTTCTCCTCTCCATAGCAACCACGTTCAGAATATCTGCGTGTGATGCTATTGGAACACACACACTCTTTTTCTTTGAACCACAAATCCTCACGAGGACTGACTCTCTCATTCTGTCTCTGCATCCCTAGAAAATCGGGAGGAGAATGTCTCCAGCAGTATTGTGTGGTTAATTAGATGGGAAGTGGAGGGAGGACTGTACCCGCTTGTCAATGTCTCCATGTTGCAGCTGGACAAATCTGGCGCTGATGGCAGCGATGTAACTCTGCTGATTGGAGAAGGCGACGCGCCCCGCCCCCTTGGGGTACTTGAGCTCTGGATCGGTGTCGATGCCAGCGTAGCAGACCCCCCCATAGAGACGGTCCATTATCATGGCCAACTCCACTGGAGAGAGATGAGACAGAGACGGAACAGGAGAAGAAACAATGGGGGGAGGAGATGGAGAAGTGACACATGAGTAGGTGAGATGGGGGTGGGGGTAAGAGAGAGAGAGAGAAAGTGGAGGAGGGGGCAGTCAGATTAATTATACAAAATGTGAATACATAGGGAAAACATTGCCAGCTCTCAGATGCTCCATATTACTCAAAACACAACATCCGTTTATCTACGTATTTCAACATCTACCAACACCAACACGAATATCCCAGTCCAATTACAAAGTAGATCAACTAGAGGTACAGCTGATATGTCATGTGGATCTGATAGAGGGAGATGAGGGAAGTGTTTACCTGCTCTGAGAGGGCGGGGCACCCCTCCTACGAAGATGGTCTTGCGAGGATCCAGAGGCTGAGAGCCGTCCATCACAAAGTCACTGTCACTCAGGTTCCACGGACGAATCTGGACCTGGAGACACACACACATATCCCATACATTGAATAATCGCCAGATAGAATTACACTGCGTAGGTGTTGCTAGTCTCACAGATGTCCTTGCTGGTGGGAATGGCCCTACAGAGAACTGGGTTTGTGTTGGACTCACAGGCTTGTCTTTGATGGTGGGGCTGGAGACACACAGGTAGAGCTTGCCGTCCTCCTCCATGCAGGCCTCGATCAGAGCCTGCACTGAGCTCTCCTCTTGGAACAGCAGGAAGGCATAACCTAGGCAACACACACAACACACTCTCAGGGGGATAGCACCTGGACAGCATATCCAATAGCGGTGGGGAAATACTGCTACAAATACACTGAATTATTCCCATTTTAAAAAGTACTTTATATACAGACTATGTAGGTTAGTCATACGGGAAAGAGGATGTGGGTCAACCTAGCTATACTGTCTCTTCCAGGAGTCACAAGGCCATCACTGATTGCTACTGGACATATTTATACGGTGCTAAAAAATACCTTTATGACATACAGTACCAGTCAAAAGTTTGGACACACCTACTCATTCAAGGGTTTTTCTTTATTTTTTTACTATTTTCTACATTGTAGAACAATAGTGAAGATATCAAAACTATGAAATAACAAATATGGAATCATGTAGTAACCAAAAAAGTGTTAAACAAATCAAAATATATTTTATATTTGACATTCTTCAAATAACCACCGTTTGCCTTGATGACAGCTTTGCACACTCTTGGCATTCTCTCAACCAACTTCACCTGGAATGCTTTTCCACATATGCTGAGCACCTGTTGGCTGCTTTTCCTTCACTCTGCCGTCCGACTCATCCCAAACCATCTCAATTGGGTTGAGGTCGGGGGGTTGTGGAGGCCAGGTCATCTGATGCATCACTCCATCACTCTCCTTCTTGGTCAAATAGCCCTTACACAGCCTGGGGGTGTGTTGGATCATTGTCCTGTTGAAAATCAAATGATAGTCCCACTAAGCCCAAACCAGATGGGATGGCGTATCGCTGCAGAATGCTGTGGTAGCCATGCTGGTTAAGTGTGCCTTGAATTCTAAATAAATCACAGACAGTGTCACCAGCAAAGCACCCCCACACCATAACACCTCCTCCTCCATGCTTTACAGTGGGAACTACACATGTGGAGATAATCCGTTCAACCACACCGCATCTCACAAGGACACGGCGGTTGGAACCAAAAATCTCCAATTTGGACTCCAGACCAAAGGACAAATTTTCACAGGTCTAATGTCCATTTCTCATGTTTCTTGGCCCAAGCAGGTCTCTTCTTATTATTGGTGTCCTTTAGTAGTGGTTTCTTTGCAGCAATTCGACCATGAAGGCCTGATTCATACAGTCCCCTCTGAACAGTTGATGTTGAGATGTGTCTGTGACTTGAACTCTGTGAAGCGTTTATTTGGGCTGCAATTTCTGAGGCTGGTAACTCTAATGAACTTATCCTCTGCAGCAGAGGTAACTCTGGGTCTTCCTTTCCTGTGGCGGTCCTCATGAGAGCCAGTTTCATCATAGCGCTTGATGGTTTTTGCGACTGCACTTCAAGAAACTCTCAAAGTTTTTGAAATGTTCCGTATTGACTGACCTTCATGTCTTAAAGTAATGATGGACTGTTGTTTCTCTTTACTTATTTGAGCTGTTATTGCCATAATATGGACTTGGTCTTTTACCAAATAGGGCTATCTTCTGTATACCACTCCTACCTTGTCACAACACAACTGATTGGCTCAAACGCATTAAGAAGCAAATAAATTCCACAAGTTAACTTTTAAACAGGGCACACCTGTTTATTGAAATGCATTCCAGGTGACTACCTCATGAAGCTGGTTGAGAGAATGCCAAGAGTGTGCAAAGCTGGCATCAAGGCAAAGGGTGGCTACCTTGAAGAATCTCAAATATAAAATATATTTTGATTTGTTTAACACTTTATTGATTACTACATGATTCTATATGTGTCTTCACTATTATTCTACAATGTAAAAAATAGTATAAATAAAGATACACCCTTGAATGAGTAGGTGTGTCCAAACTTTTGACTGGTAGTGTACATTTATGTCAATTTCAGTTAAAGAAAGTCTGAGCTGAGCTTTACCTTTCGGGGGGAAGTAGGATTTGCTCTCAGCCTTGTGTGGCCAGTCCACCACCAAGTGGCCAAAGCGACGGAAACTGGTGGTGATCTCATCTGACGAGAGAAAGAAAGAAAGAAGAGGAGAGAGGAAGGTGGATGTGTGAGGAGAAAGGGAGGAGGGAGAAAGAAAAAGGAACCAACGTGAGTAAGATCAACCTTTCACACTAGCATATTAACTGGCACAGACAAACTGTCACTGAACTAACAACATTGTGTTATGCTCTTCCTCCTCTCACCTTCATCTATGTCAGGGGGAAGGCCGCCCACAAACACTTTTCGGGAGAAACGCTCGATGTGCTCCCCGTTCTGGTGTGGGTAACAGTTAGGGCCAAGCCCTGGGATGCCCTGGTTACCGTGCCCGTCGTCAAGGAGGCTGTCTTCAATGGGGAACAGGGAGGAGCGGCCTGGAGAAGAGAGGGTCACAGGTTAGCGGTCAGAATACATGCAGACATGGACAATGACATCCACATAGATACACACATCCATACAGTACATACAGTCACATCACAAGCAGGTGCACATACTTCTGCTTTGCCAACAACAGAAGCAACCAACCTGTTGTAGCTCTGTTTACACCCACTGTTAATGTTATATAGAGATAGTATTATTATAATGAGTCATGATAAATGAGCGGGGTCCATAACAACATGTGCAATGGCTGTTTACATCTGCCATCAGGATTTGTGCTGAGTAGCTACAAGATAAAGTACAAGCATAAAGTGATTTAGGATTATGTCCAATCTAGTATTTATACTGTCGATGTGCTGTAAGACCAAGACAAGCAACCATTAATACTCCAGCCAGAGCTCTGTGACTGACTGACAGACAGCAGACAGAGAGGACAAGCTTGAGGTCTGGTAAGGAAGCTGTGGATACAAGCTGTTACCATGGGGCAAAGCAGTAGCAGTAGTCAGAGCAATGGGCTGAGGTAAACTAGTGGTAACCGAGCCTGAAACCTATAGCAATGTACTATGTCTGGATGTTAATGTGTTGTCGAGTATTCATATACGTCTGCAATTATATTACTGTAGGGACCTTAACCCAACACCTAGCGACCTTGTCTAGAGGTTAGGATCTCTTGGAGTAAAGGCTAAGATGTTGGGTCGACAGTCGATGGACCTGGGTTAAAGTCTAGGTCGGGGCTACCCCCCGAATTCACTCCAATACATTAAAAAAGGAGCAACTGCTGGTAAAGAATGCTTAGGATGTCATAGTAAATTATTTAGAACGTTTTTCTGTCCCACATGAGATGGCTGTCGGTGGTGATCATGCTGACACTATAAACACTGAATTGTTTGTATCCAGACACTGTTTTGGTTGCTGCAGTTCAGTAGCGTTAAAGCATGCTGTGTAGTGTATGAACACGCAACACACGTGACATGACAAAGACTGCACATCACATGACGGCGCTTTACCTCGACGTCTCCCATAGCTCCGTGCTGCATGTAAACAAAGTAAAGAGTGGTTTTATGCCTTGCAGACATTCCTCACAAGGTAAAGCGTCCCCAGAACTGGTACTACTGACACTACAGATACAGTGCCTTGCAAAAGTATTCAAATAAGATCTAGAGCAACCAATTACCTTCAGAAGTCACATAATTCGTTAAATAAAGTCCACCTGTGTGCAATCTAAGTGTCACATGATCTCAGTATATATACACCTGTTCTGAAAGGCCCCAGAGTCTGCAACACCACTAAGCAAGGGGCACCACCAAGCAAGCAGCACCATGAAGAACAAAGGAGCTCTCCAAACAGGTCAGGGACAAAGTTATGGAGAAGTACAGATCAGGGTTGGGTTATAAATAAATATCAGAAACTTTGAACATCCCACAGAGCACCATTAAATCCATTATTAAAAAATGGAAAGAATATAGCACCACAACAAACCTGCCAAGAGAGGGCCGCCCACCAAAACTAATGGACCAGGCAAGGAGGGCATTAATCAGAGAGGCAACAAAGAGACCAAAGATAACCCTGAAGGAGCTGCAAAACTCCACAGCGGAGATTGGAGTATCTGTCAATAGGACCACTTTAAGCCGTACACTCCACAGAGCTGGGCTTTACGGAAGAGTGGCCAGAAAAAAGCCATTGCTTAAAGAAAAAAATAAGCAAACACGTTTGGTGTTCGCCAAAAGGCATGTGGGAGACTCCCCAAACATATGGAAGAAGGTACTCTGGTCAGATGAGACTAAAATTGAGCTTTTTGGCCATCAAGGAAAACGCTATGTCTGGCGCAAACCCAACACCTCTCATCACCCCGAGAACACCATCCCCACAGTGAAGCATGGTGGTAGCAGCATCATGCTGTGGGGATGTTTTTCATCGGCAGGGACTGGGAAACTGTTCAGAATTGAAGGAATGATGGATGGCGCTAAATACAGGGAAATTCTTGAGGGAAACCTGTTTCAGTCTTCCAGAGATTTGAGACTGGGACGGAGGTTCCCCTTCCAGCAGGACAATGACCCTAAGCATACTGCTAAAGCAATACTCGAGTGGTTTAAGGGGAAACGTTTAAATGTCTTGGAATGGCCTAGTCAAAGCCCAGACCTCAATCCAATTGAGAATCAGTGGTATGACTTAAAGATTGCTGTACACCAGTGGAACCATCCAACTTGAAGGAGCTGGATCAGTTTAGCCTTGAAGAATGGGCAAAAATCCCAGTGGCTAGATGTGCCAAGCTTATAGAGACATACCCCAACAGACCTGCAGCTGTAATTGCTGCAAAAGGTGGCTCTACAAAGTATTGACTTTGGGGGGGGTGAATAGTTATGCACGCTCAAATTTTCTGTTTTTTTGTGTCTTATTTCTTGTTCGTTTCACCAAAAAATTATTTTGCATCTTCAAAGTGGTAGGCATGTTGTGTAAATCAAATTATACAAACCCCCCAACAATCCATTTAAATTCCAGGTTGTAAGGAAACAAAATTGGAAAAATGCCAAGGGGGGTGAATACTTTCGCAAGCCACTTTACTATGACCCTCTAGTGCCATTATTTACCCCTACCCCATTCAGCTCCTCATCATCTAACTGCATGGTTGGAGTGTCATGAAACCTAATTATCGTCACAGGGTTGACATTATGTTGAATAGTTAGTTATATGACAATGTGTCAAGCAGGAATGTAGGCTATATTGTAAACTGGGCTAGGCTGACTATACGTTTGAGAGGACCAGCCTAATGGAAACGACACTAGTCTTCTCCTGGCCTCTAGTCATGTGACCTAGCCTACATAAATAAGCTACGTGACCTAGCTACTACACCACCCGGCTTTCCTGCGGCTGGTCATGTGACTTATACAACTAGGCATTCCACCTCGTCATGTAAGCCACAGTACTAAACATTCCTTTTCAACATCTCAAGCCCCAGTAGGATTACAACAACAATGCATATCCTTCATTGAGTTTTAGAGTTACACGGGGGCTGTGTTTGTCCTATAGACTCTCTCTATATATATATGTCACAGGAGACATGTTTACTACACTGTTACAACAGTCTAGTGTCAGCCTAACTGACACACACAGCACAGCATAGGACAACCAACACTACTCATTTAACAAAAGCAATCCAGCACAGTCCACTATAGAGAAGGATATATCCCAACGCAAATGAAGTTCAGTAAAGCGTGACAGAAATGTCAATCCCATACTAGCTTGCTTCTCGATCTAGCCTGGTTGAGCATCCCTAACGTGTCATGATATGGAAACATTAACACTGAGACATTTCTAAAACAGTCTGGTGATAGCGATGGAAGACGACACACAAGCTGGTGTTGGAGAGATAATTACCATTGAGCATGAGCAGGCCGTCGGCCCCGGGGTGAGGGCATCCCACACGACCTGACATGACAGAGACACACACACACACACACACACACACACAAACACAGGGATGAGACTCTCAACAGATGGAGAGGACAGCGTGAGGACATCAAGGGCACGGCCATGTACTGTATAAGGAGCAGAAGCACCACTGTCACTTGACAACAGCCTACTGAGCTGTAGTGTCGGAACAGAACACTGAACAAAACCCTATTTTCCACAGAGACAGCTTGAGCTGACAAAATACAACAACAAAAAAAACAACACCCTGAATAGATTTGGGTTAACCCTAATTAACTATCAGAAGCAAATGTCAGCTATTTAATTAATGTTATCTTTACATTCAATGGGAAGAATTGCAGATGTGTGAACAGACAAAGAAGAGATGCTGGAAAATGATCTGATCTCCAGTTGAAAGATCAGCAACCCTATTTCCACTGCAATGTTAGCATGGTACATCTCCTATGCCCAGTTAGCTAAGCTCATTTCTAAAGTCCTGTAAGTGCTTGTCTTCTGCTTCTGTACTAGCAGTCAGGGCTATAAATGGTAGAGCCCACCCTCCCCTCCTCCACCCTCCCATCCCCTTCCCTACCCTCCCCTCCCCTCACCCTCCCCTCCTCCACCCTCCCATCCCCTTCCCTACCCTCCCCTCCCCTCACCCTCTCCTCCTCCTCCACCCTCCCCTCTCCTCCCCTCCACCCTCTCCTCACACTCTCTTCCCCCCACCATCCACCCTCCACTGGCTGTCACACACAGCGTGTGAAAGTGTGATCATGTCTAAATTTAGTCTCCCTCTGGTTCTCTGTGCTGTGAATACTGGTCTATGCCCGCTCCATCTGCTTCAGAGTCACATTCAGGACCGGAGGACTACAGGACAACACCACACCCACTAATAACTATGGAGCTCCATGTTGAGCCAACTAGTTTATTAACAATAATAATAATCAGGGTACCTGTAACTGTAATCAGTTATGTTACCAGCAAAAAATATTGTAATCAGATTACAAAAAAACTAGATGATTACTTATTGGATTACTTTTAAATTCAGAAAGGATGTTTTTGGGGAAGAAAATACATTATGACACCTTTCTGTTTCCTCAATGACATTCAATTCAGCATTAAATAAAGGCGCAAGTTTAAATTTGTCCCACCTGAGAGAGTCTGAACACAAGCCATAGACCACTATGATGACACACCAATTGCGTTTGATGGATCCTTTTTGTCTTCTTCTAATGCCTCTTAAGGGGAAAGTCATCAGATTACGTTACTAAATTTGGGTCATTCAAAAGTTACATTACTGATTACAATTTTGGACAGGTAACTAGTCACTGTAATGGATTACATTTAGAAAGTAACCTACCCGACCCTGAATAGTCTTTCAAGGGTAGTATACTGTGCCAAATCCAATGTGAGGGAATGTGTTTACTATAAATGTACATCTAAACCTCTCTGTCCCTGTCCATGGTTTGGGGGAGTAAGTATGTTGAAGCCAGTGGTCATAACTATGTGTGTAGCTAGCTAGCTAGATGTCATTTTACACTGACTACAGTGCACCTGGTTAGAGTCTCTTCTAAAAGTCCAGCAGCGGAGCTGAGCTGAGAGGAGAGGCCTGCCCTGGACCTGTGGGCCAGCCCTGTCTCTGTCACCATACTCCTGGGCCAGCCCTGTCTCTGTCACCATACTCCTGGGCCAGCCCTGTCTCTGTCACCATACTCCTGGGCCAGCCCTGTCTCTGTCACCATACTCCCTGTCCCTGTGAGGAGTGCTCCTATCCTATCAGGACAGAGTGCCGCAGTGCTGCCTGCCTGACTCCTGTCTGTCCATGTGCCCCAGGTTAGGTTAAGCAGTAGCAGCAGGATCAGGGCTGTAAGGTCATTTAAAGGTACAGCCGGTTGTGGCAGTAATATCCACTCTCAGCAGGGAGAACATAAGCTGCTCGCCCTGGGAAAAACAACATGCCTCTGGGAGGGAGCAGGAAGCCTGTCAGTGCCTTGGAAAATGGTATACTGCACCTCATATGCATTCCCCATAACCACTGTTCTCCCCAACCACAATCACAATGCCTTTCCCCATTATACAGTGAGTCAGTAACTAAGTAAGTATGATAATTAAAGATAGTGAGAGGGAGTAAGTAAGTAGTCTCACCCTTCATTGGATCCTGCTCTGCCCGCATGATGTCAATCAGAGAGCTTTCCAGGGAGTGCATGTTCAGGCTGTCGTACATTCTAGAGCGGTCCTGAGAGGAGAGAGAGAGGGAGGGAGGGAGAGGGAGGGAGGGATATGAAGGCTTATATCACTAAAAGAAGCTACAGTGGCTTGCAAAAGTATTCACCCCCTTGGCATTTTTCCTATTTTGTTGCCTTACAACCTGGAATTAAAATGGATTTTTTGGGGGTTTGTATCATTTGATTTACACAACATGCCTACCACTTTGAAGATGCAAAATATTTTTTGGTGTGAAACAAACAAGAAATAAGACAAAAAAACAGAACTTGAGCATGCATAACTATTCACCCCCCCCAAAGTAAATACTTTGTAGAGCCACCTTTTGCAGCAATTACAGCTGCAAGTCTCTTTGGGTATGTCTCTATAAGCTTGGCACATCTAGCCACTGGAAAAATTGCTCGCGTGCGGGCCGGTTTTGGCCCACAGGTTGCCTGTTGCCGACCCCTGCTATAGTCTGTCATCAGGTGGACATTCTGGTTTAGGTGATGCTGTATCCACTGTTTCAACTGAGGAGTGTTGCCACACAGTCATCCAATGAGAATGTAGTACAGTTCTATGTAGGAGATGAATCCAGTAGCTAGATGAACGTGTATTATATTAGCCATTATATGGTGTGATATTTTCTATGAATGGTTTATAAAGGCATTCTTATGGAAAGATCGAAGTGTGTAGGAATGTACACTCCATTGATTAGGCAGTAGGGCACCCCTCTAAATCCCCCAGTGCCAGCATACTACCCCCTCTCTCCTTCTGTATATCTCTGTCAATGACGTTCACATCATGATGAAGCACAAATGCATATCCCCTATCCAAACATAACACTGAGGAAGGAAGAAAAAGAGAGGAGACGTGTATGGAATCTGAGGAATTCCTGGTCGGACACTGTTTATAGAAATGAACCATTCATGGAGGAGGGCCTGCTTCCTGGAAGAGGAAGTGCAGCGCCATGACAGAGGGGAGAAAGTGACAAGGGATTACTGTGAAAAATGTGTCCGCGAAATAACTTGCGTGTTTTTCCGGTCTCAACCAAGACAGTATGGTGACGGTGGCCCACCCAAAGATCCTTTCTTAAGGCCTGCTGCCTCCAGTTTCCCCCTTTGTACTTAAAAGGTCAGAACTGTGCTGTACATGATTAGATGACATCAGTTATGGGTCTCTAAGTATGTCTGCATAGAGATATAACCAGTGGTGTAAAGTACTTAAATAAAAGGACAGGAAAATGGTTTAATTCACACACTTATCAAGAGAACATCCCTGGTCATCACTACTGCCTCTGACTCACTAAACATATGCTTCATTTGTAAATTATGTCTGAGTGTTGGAGTGTGCCCCTGGCTATCTGTAAATTTAAAAAACTAGAAAATGTGGCCGTCTGGCTTTGCTTAATATAAGGAATTTGAAATGATTTATACTTTTACTTTTACTTTTGATACTTTAAGTATATTTAAAACCAAATACTTTTAGACTTTTACTCAAGTAGTCACTTTTACTTGAGTCATTTTTTATTAAGGTATCTTTACTATAACAACTCCCATCCTGAAATAGACTCAAGTGAAACCTGCTAAACGTGGTGTTAAAGTAGCTTTAAAGCAGCACTAACTGCAGCCCCGCTCCCTGACACCTCCACTATGGCAGAAAGAAATAACACTGCTCCCGTCTGATTGAAATGGTTAAAGTCTGATCGAATCTGGGAAATTGACATTCATTTATCAGCTGTGGTTTTATAAACAGCCCTTTACACTCTCGACATTACTATCTAACAATTCTCTATCAATAATTACCTTCTCTATAACATCATCTCCACCTTCCTATCTACCAATCCCTCAAATTCTATTTACCCTCCCTTCTCTTCCCCCTTCCTCTCTCCCCTCCGCTCCCCCTGCCTCTCTCCCCTCCTCCTCCCCCCTCTCTCTCTCTCCCCCTTCCTCTCTCCCCTCTCTCCTCTCCCCCTTCCTCTCTCCCCCCTCTGCTCCCTCCCAGCTCTCTCTCTTTCCCTCTACCTCCTGATCTGCTCTCCCTGTCTGGCTCTTTGCGTTTGATGCTTGTCGCCTTCCTGCTCCTTCTTTCCCACAATCCTTCACTCTGAAACACTCTGCACTCTGAAAACAGTGATGTGAATATTAAACTGTCTCATTTCCATCATTTAAAGCTTTTCCCTGTCATCCTTGCTCTCTCTCTCTACCTTCGACCGACCACTCACTCTCAAACACGTACTCTCTCGCTCACTCTCTGGCTCCAATATCTAATTCAGGAAATGATTCCGTAATCCTATGAATCCAGCCCTTTTTCACTCACTGCGTAAAAAACCCTTTGCTGTCCTTCCACCAAGATTTATACAGTGCATACACACACACACAGACCCCTGTATATTTATGCTTACTGAGAAAAACACAGCCAAATACTGTACATTCAAAGCATGTACCTGGAGAGGCATAAGCGTGTTACTGTTGCTGTCTGTTCGGAACATGTTCTCCTCGATCCAGGACTTGGGGCCAATGGAGCCGGCGGAGCGGGGGAACTTGGGAGGTGCAATGACGTTACTGGAGAAGGGCTTCTTCATGGGGGAAACCTGGCTGACAGAGCCCGGGATGCCCATGCCTCCACCACGACGGTGGTCCCGACCCCAGGACATACCCCCAGAGCCCCAGCCACTCCCCTGGTGACTGCCAGCCCAGGGAGACTGCTTCACCATGGACTGAGGAGAGAGAGAGAGAGAACAAACACCATTGTAAATACAACCTATATTTAAGTTTATTTCCCTTTTGTACTTTAACTATTTGCACATCATTACAACACTGTATATAGACATAATTACATTTGAAATGTCTTTATTCTTTTGGAACTTTTGTGGGTGTAATGTTTATTGTTCATTTTTTATTGTTTATTTCACTTTTGTTTATTATCTATTTCACTTGCTTTGGCAATGTAAACATATGTTTCCCATGCCAAAACAGCCCTTAAATTGAATTGAAATTGAATTGAGAGAGAGAGGGGGAGAGATATGAAGAGAGACAAGGAGAGATGGAGAGAGAGCACGGGAAGGAGGGGTTAGAGACCCAATGTGAAATTGCGTGTTGTTGAGCCAGTATTTATTGTTTGTACTTGATGTGTTTCTTTGATCCTGTGTTTTCTCCCTCTGCCACAGCCTACTATGACCTGGTCCTGTGTGGGGGGCGAGTGGGTAAAAAGATTTAGGGCTTCAAGGCTAATACTAAGTATCCCGTGCACACTGACACCACCAACGTCCATTACTCTCTCTCTCTCTGTCTCCACCATACATCCTCACTGACACCACCAACGTCCATTACTCTCTCTCTGTCTCCACCAGACATCCACACACACACATGCTGTCATGCAGCAGTCTCCAGCCCTCTCCTCTATGCTGTATGTATGTACAGCTCTTATGCAGTTACGACAGATGGGTGTGTCTACGTGTGTGGGAGAGAGTGCTTTTGTGTATGTGTGATGGCCTTGGTGCTGATGATGTCTAGACACAAGCGCACATGCACACACACTCGTACGCATGATGTATGATAGCACGTATGACATTTTAGCTTAATAAGTCTGAAAATAGGACACCAATAGCACTTTGGAGCCTGCAATAAGGAGTCCTGAAATCTCCCTAGTGACTGAGTGCAAATCTATTGCTGCAGTTCTTTCTAGCAGACACAGGCAGGACACAGCATAGCATCATAACCCCATCCCCATGATGAGGGCTATGTGTATAGCTTCTGGTTATCAGATATACCCCCCCCCCCCCAAGTAAAATCCCATGACCCCCAATGTCAGTACAGCCTCTCTCTGCCTCCCTGAGTCAAGCACCATGACTTCAGATAGAGAGCATCAGCCTGAACCAGTGATATGTGATGACTATGCCCTGCTCTGTGCCAGCCTCAAGCAGAGAACAAAAGTCAGATTCAGTGATGCTCCCTTGTTCGCCTCTCGCCCCTCCCTCCCCCGTCAGCTTCCCCGCCCTGCTACTGAGGGAGAAACTATGCCTACAGATGTAAGATCTTAATTTGATCACCCGGTTGCAGGAGAACTTTCTTGCAATGCAGCACATTTAAAACGTGTAGTGTATTTGAGGTTTAAAAAGGCTTCTGAAGTTTGTAATTTCCACTTTGAAATTTGAGACTTGATTTTCCCTTAAGAAAAATGTATCAAGCCCTACAAAAATGTCAATAAATTATAATCCACATTTCTTGTTGCTGCAGGATTATTTTCCTGCTGTAGCAAACTGGCTCAAATTAAGATCCTACATCTGTATAGTAGTTGTGACTTCAGACCTCACTGAGGACACGACAAATGCATTACAGATAAAACCTATTTGCCCTCTATGATCATGGGTTTAGATTGATGAAAGGTGCACACACACACACACACACACACACACACACACACACACACAGGCCATGCTTTATCTCAGCAGTGTCACATGAGAAGGTCCTAGCCATTAGGAGTGCTGGGTGGCAGTTTCTCCATAGTGTATTTGGGGGTTGAGGCAGATCTGAAACTGTTTGCTGTAGGTAAACTGACGACTGGAGAAGTGAAGCCAGTGTGGGGTTCGTCTATGAATAATGCAGTCAGTCCCTCCCCTGCCCTGCCCTAGCCGGGCAGCACTTCTACATGGACCTTCTGTCCTGGGAGCACAGGACCGCATTTGTTTTCATAATCATAGTTGGGTTTATGCACTTCCATTTTAGTCATTTAGCAGACGCTCTTATCCAGAGCGACTTACAGTTAGTGAGTGCATACATTTTTTTTTCTCATACTGGTCCCCCATGGGAAACGAACCCACAACCCTGGCGTTGCAAACGCCATGCTCTACCAACTGAGCTACACGGGACACTTCTGCATAGTAACATATATGTATAACCATGGCTTGAACCCAATACAATCTAAGAGCCACACTGGTGTGTATAAGCCTAGTAGCCTACATTAGCTGTACAAAAATGATTATATTAATATCTCCCACCCTCTTTAACAGCTTATTTTTATCTATCATTTTAAAGGCTCAAACCTCTATTCTATGGGGATGCTGATGTGGGGTTTCCATGTGAACAGGTGAATAGAGAGATGCTAGCTCACCTGGTGGTGGTGGTTGTAGTTGTTCCTCTGCTGCAGGAAGGCGCCCTGCTGGTGCTGGTGGTGGTGGTGGTGCTGGGAGTGCATCTGGGGGCTGACGGGGGACCGGCGGCTCTGCTGCTGCGGCTGCGGCTGCTGATGGGCGTTGATCTGGGGCGAGAATTGGCTGCTGAAGCCCTGCACGTTAATCCCTGGGCATGGATTAGTCGACACCGGAGAAAAACTCTGGAAGAAGGCCGGGTTGATAGAGGAGGGGATACCGGGATAGAAGCTGTTGTCTGGGTCGGTATGAGGCATCTGATTAATCGCGTTTGTGTGGTGGATAGGGTTGGCCGAGTTGGAGACGGGTGGTGGTGGGGAGCTGGTCTGAACGGACCACGGGGTTCCGAATCCAGGGAGGGGAGGTGAAGCGCCACTCGGGTTCTGCATCTCTTGGTTCTGGAGGTTCGGAAAACCGCCCCCGAGACCTCCGGACAACATATTGCCGGTGCTACTGCCATTGCCGTTATTTATATGGTGGGTGATGGGGGAGTCCATTTGGATCCTAACCTTGTTTGGATTTACGGAAGTGGGCGATGGCGACGCGGCAGTCTCCACATCGGCTTCAACCTCCTCCACTGGCGAGTCGCTGATTCGTCCCGGTCTGGAGTATGCGCTGCGCTCTGGTTTGGTGGAGACTTGAGCGGTGAAAGGCTGCCTCTGCGGCAGGTGACTGAATTTTCCTTGGGGTGGGGGCGACTCAGTGCAGCCAAATTCAGCTCGCTGACTTAACTGCTGATGTATTTTCCGGTCGTGCTGAAGGTCACAGATAGACTGCGTCGGGCAAAAATGACCAAAAAATAGAAAATCTGGATTCTGGTTCAGGTGGTTGTAGTTGGAAGTGAGGGCTCCCAGCTGGTTGTTGGTTTGGTTTGGTTGCTGTATCCCGGTTTTATTGATTGTGTTGTTGTTGCTGCTGTAGTTTTCCTCTGTTGACTGGTGTCGTTGTTCAGTTGTCACCCCCACAGGCTCATTCTGCATGTTTTGTTGATGCGCAGCAGATGACAGGAACAGTGGGGACAAGGCAGCGAGGCTACTGCGCGAGACCAAGGGCGAGCCGGGGCACAACTGGCGGATGGAAACCGCAGAAGAGGAGGAGCATTAGGATAAGAAAGCGCGTCCGTCGAGAAGGGTAGAGTTGTGTCCAATGGTCGCTGTCTGTAATAAACCGAACCCGTAATCATCCATTTATTTATGTAAAAATATGGATTTTAACGCAGTTTTCCTATCCTCCGCCTAGAACAGCATAGCAGAATACAGTGCCGGATAGATGCGTCGACCGAGAAGTAGCCTAACGAGAGAGGAGGGGTTTGACTCTGTTCAGTCGGCGTTTTCTACAATTAATATTATTTTCTTATTTTAAAAGCGATTCACATAGGCCCCTATTTATTAATATCCGGTTAAAGTCGGCCTGATATTGTAGCCTATGCATTCCAATCTTGACCGACCGTGTACCCCATCCTCTCGCTGCTGCGGCAGCGTATTAAAGGTCCCCAGTGAATGACGCCTACGTCACGTCCGCATCATGTTCTGTTCTGACCCTCGCTTCGCCCTTTGTAGTGAATGCTGCTGAGCGCTTCTACCGGCCCGAGCTGTAAAGAACACTGCATCGTTTACGTCATTCTTTCATTATTCATAAGGTCCAGTACTTCATCATGATGTCCTGAATATTAAGCTTTGCATTCTGAGTTAGTTTTCTCTACTGCAGGTTTGGGCAGAATGAGCACATCCAGTGAAGCGCTTGACTTGGGCAGGAGCTCACCGGAGCAGAGTACCAGCACCTCAAATGTTCTACTGCTTGAGCTCCTATTCCTGCACCTAAATATAAACAGTAAGCCTACCAGCACCCAAAATGAGTACCAGCACCTATTTCAGTCCAAGTCAAGAACTGATCCAGTCCCCAATGTCAGATACCCCAACCCCCACCATCATTAGCCCAGAATCCAGCAGATGGCGATATTGAGTCATTTAATCTTACCGTCCGATAGGAATCTATGCAGCCGGCTATACATTTCTATCCCCCATGGACGGTTCGTACATAAAACATTCTCCATTCAGGCTGCAAAGGCGTCGATTTCCTCCTTAACTCGATTTCATGGCTAGAAGGAGAAAACAACAGGGAAAATATGCGTACTTTCTTTAACACAACACACGTGATCATAATCATAAGGAAGTGGCTATACCTTTTCAAAGCTTTATAAAGTGCTGTTTAATGGATTTAAACATTAGAGTCTGTGTTGATCCAGTAACTGAATGGAGTGTAAAAAAATTAATAAAAATAAAGAGTGTTTCCCTGAGTCAGTATTTGTATTCAATCTCATCAATCTGTAAATTATTGCTGGTAGAAACTATCTAGTTACTACCTCCAATACTGACGGTTGGTATTGATGAAAGGGACCAAGAACTCAAAGGATTGTGAAGATCAATGGGTGTCTGTTGGGGTTAAAACCTGCATAGAGACTGCATTTAACATGGTATACACACAGAATGAACAGTGAAATCATATTGAGAGTTTAAACAGGACAAGGTTTTACTGCAGGTCCCTCAGTAGCTGTCCCTTGCGCTGCTCTCATTGGGTGGGGGTAATACAGGAAAAGTGCTTGAGGTCTGACCAATATATAATAATATAATATATATATCTACAGTATATATATAATCTGACATAATGAGGAGGGATACCACCAAACCACACTGGTGTGTGTCATAATCAACCTCCCATTTGCTCAGCACCTAACAATCACTTACCTATACACACATACATACAGGGCTAGCTTCTTAGGTAAAAATCTGTCGTTCTGCCCCTGAGCAAGGCAGTTAACCCACTGTTCCCGGGCGCCGATGACGTGGATGTCGATTAAGGCAGCCCTGATTCAGAGGGGTTGGGTTAAATGCGGAAGACACATTTCAGTTGAATGCATTCAGTTGTACAACTGACTAGGTATCCCCCTCTCCCTTTCCCTTACTCATTCCATGACCTTTCACCCCAAAAATGTATTATATCCATGTAATAAAAGTATGACATCTGCAATAAAGATTTTGTGACACATATGCAACCTATCAGAATCTGAGGAAATCTTGAGACCAACACAAGCAATGGCTGCCACTACAACACATTGGTATCTGACCACAACTGGCTGACGTATGATGCTTCACTCTTTACGTTTTTTTCTCTCCAGTGATTGATCTCTTACTTATCTCATTCAGCCATGGAGGTTGTTCTTCTCTGTCCTTGTTGCACTTTCAGCTGTTTGGCTGGTAAGCAGACACCATCTCTACCCCACCAACCCCCCCTCCCTCCATGTGTCCCAGATGGGACATCCCACCAGTGAGGAAAGGGGCAGGTGTGGCGGCCACTGCGGGTGCTGAGCAATCATATGCTGTGATTAGCCAGTCTGGGGTAAGTGGTTGGGGGAGCGGTGATGGGGCAGGCAGGCTGCCAGCTGCTAGTGCTAGCCCCCCTACACACCCACACACACTGATTAGACAGGGCCGGGGGAGGGGACCATGGCTGGGGCCTGGAGGGTGCTGCTGCTAGGGTGGCTGGTTGGGGGTGTTCAGTTCTCTCTCTGTTGTTGGGGGTGTTCTCTGAGGCTCAGGCCTCCAGCTGACCTACCCATGGGCTGGCAATGGCATATGCAGAATATGACACCTAAATCCCAACCTCTGACCTACACATCTTAACACAGACAGGCACAAACATCTAACCTGGGCTGGCTCACACACAAACTCAGTTTCGCACTAGCACGGTTGTAAAAAAATAAAATAAATAAATGGAACGACAAATAAAAAGCACTTGGTGTACTCATATACACCATCAACACTTTCTATCTACATAAACACACACGACTTACAAAACCAAACAGGTAGGCCCTTGGTCTTAACATGGTTACATGGTTGGTTATAGTGCTACCTTTGGCCATCACAGTACACCTGTCACGTTGATCCAGACCCATCTCAGATTTCATGGTGAGTGTGTTAGGCCAGCTCAAATCAGGCCTTGGTCTGGGTGTGTGTTCACTCTGTGACACTGTGCAGCAGATGTAGTCATGGCAACAGGTAATCTGCATTTCCCTTTGTCGGTTTGATTACTCCATTTGACTCAGGGCTGTGTGTGTTTGTGTTGTAAGGGGTGGGGCGAGGTCGGGCATTCATCAGCTCATCCTGACAGACGTGTCCATCAAGCATGATCACTTTATTCCTGCATTGAAGGAGCATACCCTATCATCTCTCAGATCCCTCCCCCAGTACACAGGAAGTATGCCACTTGTGTGGTACTCAACACTGATGTCTTGTATTCCAGTGATGTTATACTGAACAAAAATATAAACGCAACATGTAAAGTGTTGGTCCCATGTTTCATGAGCTGAAATAAAAGATCCCAGGAATTTTCCATATGCACAAAAAGCGTAATTCTCTAAAATGTTGTGCACAAATAAGTTTACATCCCTGTTAGTGAGCATTTCTCCTTTGCCAAGATAATCCATCCACCTGACAGGTGTGGCATATCAACAACATGATCTTTACACAGGTGCACCTTGTGCTGGGGACAATAAAAGGCCACTCTAAAATTTGCAATTTTGTCACACAACACAATGCCACAGATGTCTCAAGTTTTGAGGGAGCGTGCAATTGGCATGCTGAATGCAGGTATGTCCACCAGAGTTGTTGCCAGATAATTTAATGTTAATTTCTCTACCATAAGCCGCCTCCAACGTCGTTTTAGAGAATTTGGTAGTACGTCCAACTGGCCTCACAACAGCAGACCACATGTCAGCCCAGGACCTTCACATCTTGCTTCTTCACCTGCGGGATTGTCTGAGACCAGCCACCTGGACAGCTGATGAAACTGAGGAGTATTTCTGTCTGTAATAAAGCCCTTTTGTGGGGAAAAACTAATTCTGATTGGCTGGGCCTGGCTCCCCAGTGGGTGGGCCTATGCCCTCACTGGCCCACCCATGGCTGCGCCCCTGCCCAGTCATGTGAAATCCATAGATTAGGGCCTAATTTATTTATTTAAATTGACTGATTTCCTTATATGAACTGTAATTCAGTAAAATCGCTGAAATTGTTGCATGTTGCATTTATATTTTTGTTCAGTATATATTGGATGCAGATGTAATACTACCCGTATCTGCTTTTTAGGTTTGTTGAGGAGAACAGTATACAAATCGACTGGGAGAATGCTGGCGCCAGGGGCTGAATCAGATGATGCATACCTTCCTATATAAAAGGCTACTGTAAATAACTGTATGTTTCTCCTACACCAAAACCCACTCAGTATGCACCGTACCAGATATGACTCAATTTCATCATTATGGCCCCAAAATTGATGAGCATTTGTGTGTTCCCGTGTGTTGCTCAGGGGCAGGGCAAGGAAAATACTATATAGTACAGTATGTTATGTTCCCTGAATGTTTGTAAGGTCATCTGGTGGTTTGTGGAAGTCTCTCTGAAGGTTTCTTAAAGGACTCCTTAGGTTTTGTGGGAGGTTTTGTTCTGATTTGCAGCCAGCGTGGTCTGCAGGAAGTGGCTGCCTTTATTCATATCAATTGTCTCTTTGTTGTGTCTCTCTCACCACTGAATAGTGTCTCTGTGCAGCTGACTGATAAAGCCTCTGCAAACACTCATCACACACACACACACACACACACACACACACACACACACACTCATCACACACTCATCACACACACCCAGCTGTACTTCTGACATATTCTCAACAAAATCATATTTCATCCATTTCAAACACCTTTATTTGTTCTTATTTAGTCAAATGTGTGACATTGTAATTGAGTTCATTCAGAAGCAGGGTTGTTTTATCAACAATTTTACAAATAAACATTCTACAGACATTCTATTTACAAAGATCAATCATTTTCTAAATGAGACATTTTTACCATGGTGTGGTGATTGTAGTTTACAAGGTCTGTACACTTCAGGGATGTACAATATCAGTCAAAAGTTTGGACACACCTACTCATTCCAGGGTTTTTCTTTATTTTTACTATTTTGTACATTGTAGAATAATAGTGAAGACATCAAAACTATGAAATAACACATATGGAATCATGTAGTAACCCAAAAAGTGTTAAACAAATCAAAACATATTTTATATTTGAGATTCTTCAAAGTAGCCACTCTTTGCCTTTGCCTTTCCAGCTCTTCTGCACCATGGAGCTAAATGTATGGAAATAAGTATTTGACCCCTCTGCAAAACATGACTTAGTACTTGGTGGCAAAACCCTTGTTGGCAATGACAGAGGTCAGACGTTTCTTATAGTTGGCCACCAG